GTTACGATTGTCGTATGAAAAGTCGATCGCATACGATTATCGTACGGTGTATGGGCACCTTTACTTGTGCTGGAATCTCTTGCTTCCTCCTCTACATGGTGCTATGTTTTTAGGGCGGTTCACACCATAAAGTCTGCAAGACGGCCGGCTCCCTGCGTTGAGGGGCGTGGCGGTGCATTGAAGTCACAGCCCCACCCACCGTGCAAAAGCCCGCACCCGAAACACAGGCACATTAGTGCCTGCATTCTGGTCCAGTGCGATCTGCAAAAATAGTGATCTCACTGTTGGTGGGGGGCGTGGCTGTGGTGCCATTGACTTCAATGCACCGACATGCCCCTGAACGCAGGGAGCCAGCCGGCTTGCGTTCCAGAGGCCGAACGCTCTGGAACGCAGACTTTGTGGTGTGAACCGGCCCTCAGGGATCAGCATGACGCCCAAACTAGCATTTTCAGAAAGGGCTCAACAATGGCAGCCTGCATATATACCCTTTTTTAACAATTTGTATTTTCAGAGCCATGAATGCGCTAAAAAAAAAATAACCTTCAAAGCCAGAATTCTGCAAAGCTCACAAAGGCCATGGCCTAGGGCGGCAGAGGTGGCACAAAGTTACCCCACACATTGGTTCCTGAGTGTCAGTAACACATGTCTTGTTCTAAATCTGTACTTGAAATATGTTTTCTAATGTTGTCTAATCTGAAGTGTTTAAACTTTTTTTTTTTTTAGTTAAGGTCTTTTCCATGCTACTGATGTCTCCTTGTTTTTTTTCTTGTGGCGCTAGGGGTAAAACCTGAGATATATTTAAGCATTTTAATTAGATCTTTGTTACCAGACAACACGAAACCAATTTAAGACCAATTTTTCTAGCCTTCTGTAAGGACTGGTTCACATTGAGCGTATTGTCGCAGCAGATTCAGCCCGACCAAAAGCTTCACTGAAAAAATCCCATTCATATTGCCACTGTGCACACCTAAGCGTTTTGTCGCAATAAGCAAAACGCCTGTCGCAGCAAAAAGTACATGAGCTTCTTTTTGGCAGATCTCAGCTTGTTTTGGCCCCATATGCTCAATAGAAAATGCTTGAAAGCGCGCATTGCAATTAGTTTTGCACGTTTTTACGCGAGTATGTGCACGTTTTGTCCATTGACTTCAATGTATCACAATCTGCTCATAGGAATGCGTATAATTATTATATGCACACATACGCACGTAGAAACCTGCAACAATGCACGTGACCGTGCAAAAAATGTGCAACTACGCACATAAACGTGTTAAAACGCTAAGGTGTGAATCCAACCTTAGATACCTTGAGGGCCCATTCACATTGTTGTATTACAATGCAAAACAACCCCTGTGTCCAAGCTGTTCCCATCTCTGCGCTGCAGTACAGCTCGTTTTGAAAAATACGACATGTCTGTCTTTACTTCACATTAGTTCGTTAGCAGGGCTATTGAAGTCAATGGCACAAATCAAAATGCATACAACACATCACAGCTGGCTACATGTAATAAAAAACCTTGGTCAATGGCATTGGAAACGCCAATGCACAAAGACAATACATGACAAAACACCCACCTAACGCTATAAAAAGCCCCAACTCTACGCACAGAACTGCTTTAACTTGCAACACGTTTTATCTCAAAAACAGTCCACCATTTTATTGCTTTTGCATCTCTGAAAGGTTGTAGATTGGTATTATGAATAGAGGAGCCCAAACCAGTCCGTCATCATATGTGTCATTCATGAAATAATTAACAATTGTTTCCAGCAGAACTTCGATCTCGTGGCTCTTGGCGAGATGTTTTCCTATATGGGTGATCACAAACAGCCTGGTAGCGCCTTCAATCCAGTGTACAATAATATACTAGGCCATTCAGGGTTATTCTAGTGGATGATAATGGCCACTTCCTATGGAAGTTCTCACTTTGCTTCAGAAAAAATTTCAATTTTTTTGGCAAATCTCTATGTGAATGGCAACCCAACCACAGTATCCCCAATCATATCAAACTGAAATATCATTTTTGCATTTAAAATTTTGCTTTTGAATAAATATTTAAAATCAAACCTCAAACAAGCAGAGCTTTAACAATGTTACACTACAGCTTCTTGCCAGTTTTGAGAATTGCAGCTGCCTGCATAGGGAGCCGCTATCTAATAGAGGGAGACTCCCTGAACATCAGGGAGACTTGAGATCCCTCCAGATCTTTTCATGAGACAGCAATGTGGCCAATTTGTACTGTGAGTAATTTCATCATAATGATAATATTAAAGTGTAAATTAGGAATGGGCGTTCATATTTAGATAACTCTGTCTATGTTTTCACATGTGCAGATGTAGGAACTCTGAAAACTATGCCCTTCAAATTGACATGCTCAAAATTCCAAGTTCACCCTCTGGGAATGATGGTGACATTCTGCTCCAGAATCCTCCTATTTGTGTATTTAGCTCAATGCTTTTCTTGGAAGTATGCATACCATTTAAAGAAAAAATTTCAGGTATCCACAGCATCATCCATAGCAGCCTTTCTAACACTGAGGAACCCTTGAAATGACTTTCAGGTCTCAGGGAACCTCTGACAATACATACTTTGTGCAATTATGGTCCATCAGAGTGGTGGTCAGCACAAAAAATGTCCCTCACATTGGTGCTCAGTGAGAAAAATGTTTCTTATATTGGTGGTCAGTGGGAAGAATGCCCCTTACATTGGTGGTCAGTGGGAAGAATGCCCCTTACATTGGTGGTCAGTGGGAAGAATGCCCCTTACACTGGTGGCTAGTGGGAAGAATGCTCCTTACATTGATGGTCAGTGGGAAGAATGCCACTTACATTGGTGGCTAGTGGGAAGAATGCTTCTTACATTGGTGGCTAGTGAGAAGACTGTTTCTTACACTGGTGGTCAGTGGGAAGAATGCCCCTTACACTGGTGGTCAGTGGGAAGAATGCCCCTTACATTGGTGGTCAGTGGGAAGAATGCCCCTTACATTGGCGGTCAGTGGGAATAATGGTCATTACATTGGTGGTCAGTGGGAAGAATGCTTCTTACATTGGTGGTTATGGAGAAGAATGCTCCTTACATTGTTGGTCAGTGGGAAGATTGCCCCTTACATTGGTGGTCAGTGGGAAGACCATTCATTAGATTGATGGACAGTGGGGGGAATGCTTCTTACATTGGTAATCAATGGGAAGAATGCTCCTTACATTGGTGGTTATGGAGAAGAATGTTCCTTACATTGGTGGTCAGTGGGAAGAACGTCCCTTACATTGGTAGTCAGTGGGTAGAACAACCCCCTCACAGATGGCTAAAAATATTATTGGTGTCATTGGTTTCTTATCTGATAGACAGAAATTGCTTATTGCTCAAGCAGCCCCTAGAAACTTTTGAAGGAGCCCACGAGTTCCACAGTCCCTGATTAAGACAATCTGATCTATAGGTTTACTGCCTGCAGTGAATGCACTTTAATGCTTTGGATGGAATCCTTATGATATTACAGCAGCGGGGCTGATCATGTGACTATAGCAGGCAGACCGTCCCTCTCCTAACTCACTTGCAGAAACTCATTGGAAAGTCATGTTCGCAATTTTACTAAAATCCCTGCAAAGTATGAAACTGAGCACAAGATTTTTTTTTTTTTTCTTTCCCCTCACAAAATTGATGTTTCTATCACAACGGCGCCTGGCAGTTCTGATCCGCAGGGGAGTCGTGCATGGATCCTCTACTGATCAGAGCAGTAGGGAACGGTTCCCTGCTGAAGGGTTTGGATTTGCCCACCCTTCCTGCTTTAGAGCTAGCTCGTTACAAAACCCCCCCAAAAACTCGCTTTGCAGTGGGGCTAGTGGCGTCACAAGGGGGGTGCGGCTCGCACCCGGGTGACACTTGGTGTCACCCCCTCTAAAAAGTCGGGCGCTCGGTCATTGGACCGAGAGCCCAACAGTGTCAGGAGAGTGGAGGGGACCCGGCGGCATACCTCATCCCGCCAGGTGAACGTCCCCTCCTCTCTCTCTGCTGGCGTCCATCACCAAGATGGCCGCCGGCAGGCGTCAATTAGATGGGCGCGCATGCGCAATGACCTCATCGCGCATGTGCAATAATAATTTTTTTCTGGGAGACCCAAATAAAGCACTTTTACTTACCTGATCCCCGCGCCCCCATTGACTACAAGGACGGCACCGGCAGCCGCTTCCCCCTGTCCGTGGTTGAAGGCCCCCTGGAGGCATCACTTAAAATAAGCCACACATTATACGCGAGGACGCTAAAGGACAGCCTACAAGCCAGAACGGAGGGGAAGAGTGCTGAGCACCGACCGCCGGGGGGGCAGGAATCTACTCACCTTCCTTCTAGCCAATGAGCAATTAACTCTTGCAGGCGGGGGGGGGTTTGGGGTAGTCTCTTTTTTTTGTTTTAATGAGACCTAAGACGTACGTTTCGATGCACATTAAAGCAACGCTAATTCATGAAAAAAAAATTGCTGTGGCGTCCTTTGGACACTTGGACACGTCAGGGGGCCGCACTAAGCAAGCATAGGCAACTTTGGTGGTGGAACTACATATGCCATAATGCTCCTGACTCCAGGAGTCATGCCTGTGTCTGTCAGTCTTGCAATGCCTCATGGGGCAGTCAAAGGTGACGAGGATGTCTACCCCATACTAAGCTGGCCACCACTGGTCTAATGGAGCCCTGGATAGCAGTAAAAACCTGACAGGGGTCCTACCTCTTTCACACTCCATCCACACCTTTTAAAAAAAAGTTTTGGCTGGACACACACTTTAATTTACCCTGACATGGTGGTCAGCGGTGGCAGCCATGGTCATTTGTAAGGACATAGCATGCAGATCCTGTCCCCGGAAATCAGTGACAGCTGCCTCCTATGCACGCCCATGCAGATGCAGACATCCCCGATGTGCTGGTGTATCCCCATTCCTCTCCCCACCCCCTGACATCAGCCATCTCCTCCTCTCCTTCCTCCTGGCAGCCCACTGGCCCATCGCTGCCCCCTTCTTCCCCCACCCCCCAGGGCCTGCACACCCATATGCCTCGCAACCTGTCCGCTCTGCTGCTGGGGTCCTGCATCTGCGATCTCTCCAACAAGCCGGAAGGAAACCATGGCGACCGGCCATCAATCTCTTCCACAGCATCCGCGCATGCTCACTTCCTCAGCCGTGCTCCCTCAACAAAGATGGCGGCGCCCGTGGGGCCGATCCGTTTCTGGAAGCCGGGTAGGGAACTGCGGGCTCGGTACAGGGTGGCGGCGCGGTTCTGGAGGGGGGTGGTAGAGGTGCTGTGTCCAGTCTGCTGGGAAATAGCCGTGTAACACTGGGATTTCCATCCTAGGGACGTTGGGCTCAAGCCACCAGGCTATAACGATCGTTATTTTCAGTCGCTATGGTATATGGCCTTTAACCAAGCAGCACATATCTGTATGTTTTCTCAGTGTTGCGGTGTTAATGCAGACCTGTGGCTTGCCGGTGATAATAAACAGTTACAAAGGGGCTAAAGTGGTCTCCATTCCTGGGGCAAATCCGGACCTAGGCTCCAGATAGTGCTGTTTACTTAAAGAGGCCCTGTCAGCAAGTTTAAGATTTGCAGGTCGAACAGGTGGGCAAACTCTGGCCCTCCAACTGTGGTGAGACTACAAATTCCAGCATGCATCTGTCTCTAGGAGTCGTGCCTGTGTTTGTGAGAATGTCTTGCAATGCCACGTGGGATTTGTAGTTCCACAACAGCTGGAGGGCTGGTGTTTCGCTACCCCTGCTGGAAAGCATTGTTGTAGCTGTGACTACCAGGTGTAAAGTATGTAAACATTCATTGGGCCAAGCTGGACTAATGTAGGTATATATGAATATAAACTTGTAGTTCAATCCTCTTCTCTTCTGGGAGTGTCTAACTACTGTCTGTGCTGTCCCAGCTCCTTCACCCCTGCCAAATCTTTTATGTAGCTGCCGAGGGAGGAGTGAAGGGCATAATATAGAGCAGGGCTCAAAATTTCAAGTCCTAAGCTACTAGCCAGACCTTAAAAGTTACTCGCCACCAGTTGCCCCCAACTAACCCCTACCCTGCCCCGGCCTTAACTCCGCCAGGTCAGCGGTGTGACGCAGAGTACAAAGATCAGTAACAGCGCACAGTACAGAATGCAGAGGCCAGTTGTGTGACGCACAGTACACCGGTCAGTAATGTGACGCGCAGTGCAGACGTCAGGGTGTGACGCGCAGTGCAGACGTCAGGGTGTGACGCACAGTACAGAGGTCAGGGTGTGACGCACAGTACAGAGGTCAGCATGTAACACAGTGCAGAAGTCACAAAGAAAGTACAGGGACTTACAGTTGCTTTGGCCTCTTCTTCTTCTGGTGATGGTGGGGGAGCAGCTAGGTTTCCTACACGTCAAGGTGCTCTCTCCTGCGCAGCAGAAGCCGGCCAACTGCAGTTCGGCAGTCTTCCTCTCCCACCAATGGCAGCTGAGGTGGGCGGAGGAAACTGCTGTGGCCGCCGAGGAGCCCAATCGAAGCGGGCACAGATGATGGCAGTCCAGCTTCTTGTTCTCTTTTTCCCACCGCCGCAGTCTTAAAGTCAGAGCAGTCTTAAAGAGGCCTCCCTCCCAGTCCACATCTTTCGGACGTTATTAATCTGAGTTGCACCACTCAGTTTGCCCGTCACTTGCGGTCATATTTATTGGGGCACTAAGATTAATAACATGTTGGATTAGTCTGACCCAGGGGCATACTGGGCCGGGAGGCAGTTTGGCAATTGCCCCTCAAACCTCTCTGTTACCTATGCAAACGCCTCCCACCGCCGCCGTAAGCATTTAATCTCTCGGCCACTCTGCTGCGGGGGGCGTTTGCAAAGGTATCAGAGAGGCCCGGGGGGCAATTGCCTGGTCCGCCCCTGGGTCAGACTAATCCAGCACGTTATGAGTGCTCCACTCAATATGGCCGCAAGAAACTGGCATACTGAGTGGGGCAACTCAGATTAATAACGTTCCAAAGATGTGGACTGAGAGGGGGGGCTCTTTAATAATGCTCTGATCACACCGCTGAGCGATCCCTCTCTCTCCTCCTGACCGCTGCAGCTTCAGAGCGGCTGGGAGGAGAGAGAGGGAGCAATAACAGGTGTGATCAGAGCCGCCTCCCCCGAGTTCCTGCTTCGTGGAGCTGAAGCTGCAGCGGCCGGGAAGAGAGAGAGGGAGCGCAAAGAACTAGTGCCGGCTCTGGATGGGACACCACCGCCTCGGTGATCGCTCGCTTCTGTTCTCTCTTCTCCTTCTCGGCCGCTCTGTAGCTGCAGCAGCCGAGAAGAGAGAAAAGAAGCGAGCGATCGTCATGGCAGTAGTGTCCCATCCCTGGTCCCGGCGGCGGGTGCACCCCCTTGCTGACATTCCACTCGCCCCTCCGAGGTTTTCACTTGCCAATTGCGAGGTGGCGAGCGGAAATTTTGATGCCTGATATAGAGTATCATTTGAGTGACCGCTCTGGGGCTGCCGACATCACATCCAAGAGTTAGAATTCAGACACGTTATTCCTTCAGCAGAGATCATGTGATCAGGTACCTAGGCCAATGTTTCTCAACCTTTATTTTTTAGTCATGGCACACTTTAAAGGTATGCAAAATCTCATCTAAAATGGCAGAGGTTTTAAGGGGGACCCCACACAAGAACACACACACCAAAAGTGTCAGGATCCCCTCTTTCATATCAGCCGCCCCCTTTCCTTCTTTACATCTACATCAGGAGCCCCTCACATCAATCTTCATCCCCACCCCAGTCACAGTCCCACCACCACAACCTTTTGAGGCACCCCTAAGGAAGCCAGAAGGCTCACCAGTCACTGACAGCTCCTAGAGATGTAGGAATCGAAGCACCGCACCAAATAAAATAGTCCAGATGCAGCTTTATGGCATCAGGGTCAAGTAGAGCAGCCAATGCGTTTCTGGGATCCAAAATGCACCCCCTCTCATCAGTGAGCGATATCTTACGAGTCTCACGGGCAGCCATCTTGACGGGTATTTTTTAAAGCACTCTACCTGAGAAATTATTTTACGCGTTTCCTCATGAGGTCGTATTCATGTTCATGTTCTAAGGCTAAGGACCATGTCACATTAGGTGACCACAGGGGTAAATAGGGTAGGAGGAATACCCACCTACTTCCAATGTGTCACTTTCTCCCCAGCTAGATGACTGTGACTATCTTTCAGCAGCATTTTTGCTTTGCTTATCAAACCGATGAGGGAGTCATACATGGAAGTTGGGCCCTGTTGCTGGTGAGCTCTTGCCATCATCAGCATCACTAGTGTTACGAACCAGGGATGGGCAGCTCCGGTCCTCCAGCTGTGCTTTAACTGCAAATTCCATCATGCCTCTGTCTCTGGAAGTCATGCCTGTAACTGTCAGTCTTGAAATGCCTTATGGGACTTGTAGTTCCACAACAGCTGTACCCAAGACCAACACAATGTCTCTCCTTTTTATAGTTGGTGTTCTCTGTTCATCTTGTCCATCTGTTTGACATATGTGTGTGTTGTGTTTACAGGTACAGAGGGCCCTGGTGCCAACCTTACCGAGGAGAGGCAAAGTAATGCTGAAGTGACCTCGGTTATCTATAACCCACATGCCTCCCTTTCCATAGAACAACAGAGACAGAAGCTGCCTATGTTTAAGGTAAAGCAGAATTGTTCATTTTTGGGTCCGAGCACTGTACAAAATGTTAAATCCTCAAAGCCAAACTCTGGGCACTAAATCTTTCATTAAACTATATTCCTCATCCTCAGTAGCCACAGAAGGATATACATCCACTTTGTGTGCACCAAATGCCTTTACCAATCTGGGTATTGCCTTGTAAAGGTAGCAGTGACATCATCACTGTGCTGTACATAACCTATAAAGAGAGCAGAGCTGTGGGAGGGAGCCAGCAGGCCCCATCCACTACTGTACAGGCTGCCTGCAGAACACTACAGGAGGGGGCGGAGACAAGACCAGTCACCCTGCACAAGGAGAGAGAGCAACAGTGACTGGTCTTTATTACAGAAAACTCCAACACAGAGGCAAGCACTGAATTTCTGCAGAGATCTGTAAAATATCCACAAAGCACATTAAGACTCAAATAAGAATACAAATGCTGCTTGTATTTAGAGAAAATATGCCGTGCCAATTTCAGCTGGTTTATCAAGAACCGCACAAAATTGAAATAGTGTGTGGCCAACATAAGTCCCTTTAAACCAGGGGGGGCCAAACTCTGGCCGTTTAGCTGCTGTGGAACTACAAATCTCATGAGGCATTGCAAGATTCTCACAGCCACAAGCATGACTCCCAGAAATAAACACATCATGGGATTTGTAGTTTCACCACAACTGAAGGGCCGCAGCTTGCCCACCCTTGCTATAAAAGAGAACTATGGGGTAAGTGTTTTCCCCCATAGTTCTTTTAAGGGTCACAGGAGGACATAAACTAGCGTCCTCCCGTGACCCAAAGCTCAGGATATCGTGAGATCCACCCAGCTGCGTGAACTGGCTCTGCCTATCTAGAGCAAGCTGTACCTGCCCCCTCCCCTGTCCGTTCCTCCAATCAGCGCTGGAGGATTTGAGCGGGGAAGGGGGGAATCACTTCAGGGAACCGTGACTGACAGTCACCGCTCACTGCAGGGAGATTATCGACAAGTGAGCGACGATATGCGCTGGCTCACTTCCCGATCTATTGAGCCGATGTGTGACAGTTTTATTGTCACATGTCGGCTCGAACTAGGAGCTTGAGTGATTTTAACTCACCTCATAGTTCTCCTTTAAGCAATACAGCACCCTCGGACAAAGACATCAATCCATCACCGCAGCCAGGCTCCGAATGTTAATACTGTATATGTTTACACAGTAGGGTTCCTAAACCTTCATCACCAAAAACGAAATGATTACATTTAGGGAGATTTATTTACATTGATTTGGAAGTTTCCATAGGTTGTTTTTTTTTTTAAACATACAAGGGGGGGGATTGCGAGTGTTGGAACTTGAACGCAATATATTTGCACCAGATTTATGATGCTAGTGTAATGTTGTTGATAAATGAGGTTTAATAGACTCCAGGAAAGAAGACTCGTAACTCCAGGCAAAAAGCTTAACTGTTGCTTCTTGAAGAAGTGGTCATGGGGACTTCTTAAGTCGCGATTGTTTTCTTAGGTGATGCTCCAGTTTCAGACAGCCCCAGAACAAGTGCAAAAAACATGCAACTGAAAAAATAGTGCAAGCTCTGAAGAAAACAGGGGCAAAACATGTGCAGTTGGAAAAGTAGTGTAAGCTCAGGTCAAAACAGGCACATGTTAAAAGACAGATTTGCACATTAAAAAATATGATCCAAGAGGCTAAAACTGTCACAATTGCTTTGATAACTTCCCCCCCCAAGGTATTTTAAATTTTCAGAGCTCAGCAGTTGCTTTACAACTTTTATAATATTTATTTTCTTCTTTACAGCTCAGAAATCACATCCTTTACCTAGTGGAGAATTACCAGACAGTGGTGATCATTGGAGAAACAGGATGCGGCAAAAGTACACAAATCCCCCAGGTACTTGCTTCATCAGATAATGTTCACATAAGAAACCTTTTGATTCCAAATAACCGTTTTAATATTTATAAACAGAACTATACTCTCAAAATAAAACACATTGCTATGTGGTAGAGCTTTTGTCAGAAAAGACTTTGCATATAAAAATAAAATCCTTGCCATTCACTGTCCAGTGCAGAATACACTCCCAGGCCATTTCCGGTGTCTGTAGGATGCCAAGAATGAAGCTGGGTGCTGGGATGAACTTGCATGCAGGAGTTATGTTATCAGTGGCTTAGAAGGGAAGGATGGCCAACCCAAAAGAAGTGTCAAAGAAGATGGCGATGGATGGAGCAGAAAGCTAGGATGGAGCTAGCTCTGATCTGTCAGCACTGGAGGAGTCTGCCATAACATGCAAGTATGTTGTGGTTACTTTACATTGTGACAAGAGCTGCCTTCCCTCAGACATGCTAAAAACTGATCCTTAGCTAAGCTGTGTGAACAGTGTTGCTGGGATGGATAACTAAAAGTAGTAATCATAGTCATAGAAGGGCTGGAATACCCCTTTTCTGAAGAAAATGCTGTTCCAAACACCATTCAGTGCAACTTAAAGGTGAGAAAGGTCTACTTGCATAGGCCTCTGAAAGGCACCATTGGAATCTAGATTGGCTTAATCCAAGGCTGGACAAATCCCGGGATCTACCTGTAGCAAATGTTCCTTAAAAATGACAGCTGGCTCCAAACTTTTGAGGTCTTCTTTAGTTGTCAATGGAGCTGGCTCCTTAAATAAAATCCTGCTGATAGGCTGGCTCCTAAATTCCATATTGATTTGTCCACCATTGGCCTAGGCCATGGGTGGGCAACCTTGGAACTCCAGCTGCAATGAAACTACAAGTCCCATGAGGCATAGCAAGATTCTGACAGTCACAGGCATCACTCCCAGAGGCATGATTGCAAATCCTATCATGCCTCTGCATCTAGGAGTGACTGTCAAGAGTCTTGCAATGCCTCATGGGACTTGTAGATTCACCACAGCTGGAGTGCCGATGTTGCCCACCCCTGGCCTAGGCTTTCGCATGTGGCCAGCACTGGAGCAAGAGGACCATTTTAAAGGGAACTCAATGCTAACAGCTGTGCATTTATATAGATTTTATCTGCCAAAGGTTTTGTGATTGTGTACTGCTAAAACACACTGCACACAGACAAATAAATGAGGCACTTCTGATTAAGCAATTCATCTTCCAGATTCAGCATTTTAGCATTATTCTTACCCTCCTTGCCTCCAATGTATGTGCTGGGCAGTAAATCATTATCATCTGTTCAGTGAAAAGAGAGCTGACCTAAGAAGGAGCAATGCTAAACCAGAATGGAGAAGGTTGATTATCGGGATTATCAGAGGTGTGTGTATAACAAGAACTCGGCTCTTCTCCAGCGATGTGATGTCTCCAAGCTCCCTCGTTGGCGGCGACATCTTCACTAACAGGACTATTCACAAAAGGGTGAAGAGTATGGAGAAGGCAGGAGAAGGGAACAATCTAGGACAACATAGCTGATTTGGAAAAATTCTCCAATTCAGCTCACTTTCCAGTTCAGCTATGTTGTCCTAGATTGTTCACTTCTCCTGCATTCTCCAAACTATTCACCCTTTAGTGAATAGCCCTGTTGGTCTTCTTATGGGTTCGTCATCTTGATTAGCTACATGGAGATGACGCAACTCCTGTGCATGCTTATGGGAATTAATTCATCCTGGCATCCAGCAGATAGTTTACAACGCTGGAGAAAGGGAATTGTAGCTCCCATTCGAAGCTTTTTACACAGGTACTTAGCTTCAGCCTCCTTCCTCCAAGATATTCTTTGTTTAGAATGACTAAAGTAGTATTTTTCCCCCCTCTAATATAGTACCTTGCGGAAGCCGGGTGGACAGCAGAAGGGAAAGTAGTTGGAGTAACACAACCCCGGAGGGTGGCTGCAGTTTCGGTAAGTAAGAAAACTGAAATTTGTTTACATTTGTGTACTTTGCCATTTAACTCGCGTTCTTGAGCACATTAGGTTTGCTTTAAGGAAGAACTCTGGGCAAATAAGATCTTAACCCTTGCAGTGGGGCTACCCCTGCACTGCAAGGGTTAAGTGCTCATTTTTCCTAGGGAGCCAAAATAACAGATACTCACCCACAGCAGTATCTCGGCTGGCTGTTAGACCTGTCCCTTCAGTTTCTATTCTGCTCGGCTCCAGGGGTCTAAGATCCCATGAGGCATCACATCCTATACCGTGTATAGGACATGAGGATGCTAAAGGGACATCACCGGAGCTGGGAGGGAGAAAGGCTGAAGGGAGAGGTCTAAAAGCCAGCCTGGATCGTGGTTTGGATAAGTATAGCTGTTATTTTAACTCCCTGGGCAAAATAAGCACTTAACACTTGCAGTGCGAGGGTAGCCCCCCACTTAAAGGGTTAAGATTTTTTTCCCCAGAGTTCTTCTTTAAGGTTGTGGACTTGTACATGGTAGATGTAGGAACTGAAGCGCCACACCAATTAAAATAGTGCAGATACAACTTTATTCCATTAGGGTCAGTTGACTTTCCAGTACACCCCCCCTTCATCTTAATGAGAGAAATCATGTATGTGGACTACAATCCCTGCAGTACAAACTTTGTATTGAGCTGTGATGGGAGTACCTCAGACAAAAACAAATCAGATCATGGTAAATGAAGGGGACTTTCAGACTTCAACACCATAGCGTAGCTTGCTGACTATTGTTTTTGATTGATTTCAGTTGCTGCTTGCAATTTTATTTGTGTGGCAGCGAGGCTTCAACCAGCTTTTGTCCCCAAGTCCCTTAGAAATGTTGGAAACCGGTAGATGTTCTGTTACCAAAAGAAAACCACCACTCCAGCCAGCTGGTCTTTCTGAATGAATGGAGCTCATCAGCACCCCCCATGTGTGATACAAGAAGCCAGTCATGCTTCAGTGACGTCAGCTGTAGCAAAAAATGTATTGTTCCGACAAAATCTTGAAGAATCTGTCCAGACCCTGCGTACGTTTCACCTGAATAATCCCCACGATGATATCCTGTTTGGGTGAAACTCGGCAGCGTGAGGAAATTCTGGATGGATTCTTTGCAATTTTGTCTACACAATGACGCTTTGGGTACAGCGGATGTCATTGGAGTGCAGTAGGGTCTTCTATTGACAAGAATCCACCTATATCTAAAATTTGTGCTGGATGGACTGTTCCTTTAGGAAGAATGAATATCACCTTAATTTATCCACATTTATGTCAAAGTTGATGCAGGGATGAATGTAAAAGTTGTTTTTGTCCCTGAATGTTCAAGTGTCTTATCTTGTAATAGGTGGCAGGGCGGGTGGCAGAAGAGCGAGGAGCTTTGCTGGGACACGAAGTTGGCTATTGTATACGTTTCGATGACTGTACTGACCCCCAGGCTACACGTATCAAGGTGAGATCACAGTTTACCTATACCTGGTGTGATATGTTAATTGTAGCAGCCTTATAGCTCATAGCTCCTTCCACCACAAAGGCAATTGTTCTTACGGGTGTAAGTGCTCATCAACTCATTGACTCATTTGGTGTGCCCAGCTTTGATCATAGTATCAGCAGTTGCTAGAAGCATAGACTCTTGCCTTCATCATTAAAAACTGCTGTCAGAAAGTTTATGGGCCGATACAAATAAATATAGCCATACATTATATTTTTCATATAGCTTCTTTAATCGGAAGAAAAGCTGGCCATACAGGTAGGCTGAATGAGGAAAAAAAACACTTGATTTCCCCATCCACACTAAACAGTAGCTGCTCTACCAGCCAGGATATTGTATTCTGACAGCAGCGGATGTTGTGCTGCAGTCACTGTCCGGCCTGAGAATTTTTGTACCGTCTTCTTTGACAAAAGTTGATTAAAAAACCTGCTTGTGTCGAATTGAGGGGTGCTGATAGGGCCACACAATGCTCGAATTATAAGCAGCATATGGCCAGCTTGATCATCATTTCCTGGCACACATGGAGCACAGTAACCTATTGTAGCCCACCACCTTTCATTCTGTGGACCGCACTTAACTGTGAAAAGCAGAAACCTGGTTGCTAGAGTTTCTTATTCTTTTCTTTCATGTTCAGCAAACCCCTGTGGAGCTGCTTTTTACTGAGCTGTTGATTTTTTTTTTTTCCCCCCTGCGGTTTTGTTTGTTGAGTTATGTCACCAGCTTTATTGCACTATTTTATTGTCTTTTTTTATAGTTTCTGACAGATGGTATGCTTGTCCGAGAAATGATGTCTGATCCTTTGCTCACCAGATATAGGTAAATATTGTGTATGTTTGGCACATAGCACTGTGGCAATGGGACAGTTTGTGTGCACAAATTGAGGGAAAGGTGAATGTTTGGGAATCGCATTGCTTAATAATCAGTGAAGCATCTTGCATGGAGTCTATAGACATTAGAGGTTGGTCTTTAATTACACAGGCTGACACATACATACATATTCATTTTCTCTCCCTCCTTCCCCCCTCCTTACTGCTTAACAACCTCCATACCGCCATATTGTAGAAAAGGGGAAAGGTGGATGTGTATTTCAGGACCACCATTTCAGAAAACACACATGGGCTGCCAATGCGCCCGTTAATAGCTGTGATCTGAGATGTCATTAGACGGCTCATATCGCATACTAGGGCTGCAGGTAACAATTATTTTCTCTCTTCTCTCTCTCCTTTCTTCTCTCTCCTCTCCCCCCCCTTCCCCAACCAACTAATCGTTGATGAGAATAGTTTCCAACTATTCTCATAATCGATTATTACCGATTTAGTCGATTAGTTGTTGCAGCCCTATCACATACACAATATACACAGATAATCGGAGTGGCTCTGTACCTTGTGATTGCTGTGATGACCAATCACAAATGTAAACACAGTAGTGTTTACATGTGAGAGCCCTCCCCTCTCACACTGGATGAATGAATCATTCATTAGAAGAAGATCACAGGCAGCAGCAGATTCAAGGTATTTGATTGTGGGATAGTTTTTAACCCTCTCCTCTCTTATACATGCCATCTCCATTGCTTTTTGTATATTGACCCCTCACCTCCCTTATTAACTCCCTACCTCATCTTGCACATTAAATCCCTCATCTCCATTATCCCTAAGTGCCTAGCCTGCACAATAATGTACCTAGTGCAAATTTATCAAGCTCCATATTTTAACCCCCTCAATAACCCCTCAATTCCAGCATGTTTTTATCCAGAAAATTGTGGCAAAAAAGGTCAGCTTGGGGTGTCGTCTACTTTCCGAAAACAGGTTATTTTGGAGTTGTTTATACTGTCCTGGCATTTTTATTTTGTTTTATAAAAGAAAGTAAACAGTTTTTGTTGTTATTATTTGCATAGAATCAAATATTTATTGGATATTAAATACCACCAAAAGAAAGCTCTAGTTGTCTTACTGAGTGCTTTCACTTTGCTGCCTGGAATTGCTCTTTACGTTTCTTATGTCTTCTTAACCAGTGGTATTTAGTGAATGGAACAGCACTGCCTCTATTGGGTACAACAAAGCCTAACACAAAGAAGTTACAAAAAATATTGGAAGGTTATTGATTCCCTAGGCATATCCTTATAGCGATCAGGGGTCACTGAGATGAGCAGATCAGGTGCACACGGTGCTGGGGAACAATGGCTGAATTAACCAGGTTGCTGTGGTCTAATTTGTCTTTCTCTTTTACACAATACAGTGTGCTGATGTTAGATGAAGCCCATGAACGCACCCTCTATACAGACATTGCTATTGGCCTCTTGAAAAAGGTGAGCGTCTCAACAACATTACATAGATGTTATCACCTTGCTCTTGCAGAGCAGTGTGACAGTGTCCTCCCTGGCACCCCATACTCGCCTTACCAGCACTCCCTTACCGCTCCTTCCTCCTCCACAGCAGACTCTGAAATGACTGGTGTAGATGAACCGGTAGGAGCGACAATAAACTCATTCCCCTGGTCATCTAACAGTGCTTGGGCTCAACAATTGGCTGCTAGAACCAAGCACTGTCACAGGGGAGGAGGTCACATGTTTCTCCATACCTGAAAGTGCCAGCTGTGGTGGGAAAGTGCTGGTAAGGTTAGTTAGTATTTGGCGGTGCGGGGGTATTGGGTTCTGGTTGCAGAGACACTGTCACTTCTCCCTACATGGGCTAGTTGACAGTGTCTCTTTAACACGTTTATAAATAATGTGGATTTGTTGATAGATTTGTTCTTAACGCTGGTAGTTCATAGCAGATGCTATCATGCTTCTTAGAGCACATGAAATATCTTCAGCAATCCTAATGCTAAAGTGTTCCTTACATCTAAGTGTCCCCCTAACATGTATCCCCCTCCTATCTGTTCACTACACTAAAGTGCTCCCATCAAAGTCCTTGGGATGCACCGATATTTTTTTTCCGGTACTCATCTATACCAAGTACCGATACCGGTGTCGTGCGCCCCGATTATCAGGAAGTCATGATCCGTCGCCCGGCTTCCTGATTGCCTCCGAAGCTGATGTTCTATCGAAAGAACACCGGCTTCACTGCCGAGGCTGCCTGGCTTCCTGACCAATCAGGAAACTGGGCGGCGGGTCATGAGGTGCCGTCTGGCTTACTGATTGGTCAGGAAGCCAGGCTGCCTAGCAACAAGTGAAGCTGGCTTCCTAGCCAGTCAGGAAACCGGGAGGCGGGTCATAACCCACTGCCCGGCTTTCTGATTGGAAAGGAAGCCAGCTCCATGCTCCCTCGGCACTGCCGGTCAGAGGGAGATCTCCCTTTGACCGGAAGTTCCGGTATCAGAGGTAAGTATATTCCTCTATAGCCGGTGCCATTCTGCGTTCATTGCTGTATAATTTTACACTTTTCATTTCACTATATTGTACACCACACTTTTTTTTTCTTTTTTACTTCCACTGCTCCAAGCTTGCTCCTGTGATGGACTGCAATCTCAATACAAACTAGAAGTCCCATCACTGGAGCCATTTTTTAAAATGTATTTTATTTTTTTATCCGATTAACCGATTAATCGAACTTAATAATCGGCTAACTAATCGATTTTGAAAATAATCGTTAGCTGCAGCTCTAGTATCGGAGCATTTGGGCGAGTACTAGTACCGGTGCATCCCTTCTTTACACTTAAGCTGGTCATAAACTAGTCAAATCTTTCCTGTTGATTTGCCTGACATTCCACCAGTGTGTGGCCCCTAGGGACCCCTTCCCATTCAGCAAAAATTTATTTTTGAATCCACTTTTGCAGAAGGAGCCGTTCTGAAAAATCTTAGCTGAATAGGGACTGCAGCCAATCAGCTTTAGTCACTGTTTGGGTATTTTGACAGATGCCCACCCACTGCTGGCAAAATACAATAGCCCGGCAATGGAGATCTGCGCGTGGATGGGGGAATCGAGACTGTATGGCCCACTATATTCCTCCACCCTTAACTCTACACACTTATCTGCTTAACCCCCTCACACACATACACTATTTAACTTGCCCCTTAACACTTACCCCAATCCAAACAATGAACTTCTAAGCCTAATATAATATTACTGACCTAACCACAAAAGTCATTTTTTAAATTGCACATTTTTGCTTTTTTCTCTGTGTCATATAATGGTTGTCTTTTAAATTCAGATTGTCTCAATATTGCCTGTCTGTATAACTGACAATGCAGTTAGTACCATTGCTGAATGAATTCATATCTCATATGGATCATAGAGATTGTATTGTGTATGATGAATTACTGTGGTGTGGCGCTGGTCCCGTAGACTTGCATTGCAATAAGAGGAGCAATAAAGTGCCAAAGGAAAATGTATAGTGACAGTGCAGTCAGCTGTCCCATTGTCATAACAGGTCCAGATCTAAAGTCGCTCTATTGTCTGTCATACAGCAATCAGATGTGTCACCCCAGTTTCCTGTTTCTCACATCTGCAGGTTCAGAAGAAAAGAGGAGACTTGAGGCTGATTGTGGCTTCGGCAACACTTGACGCAGAGGTAACACCTAGGAACTTTGTCTTTTTTTCCTTCCTGGATCTATAGAACGCTCTAAGGCCATCAGAAAGGAGGTTGTGGATGCCTTGGAGTATGGCAAGTGTTTTAAGAAGATTGCCAAATGATTTAAAATCAGTCATTCCACTGCAAGGAAAATAATCTACAAGTGGCATAGATTTCAAACGACTGCTAATTTGTGCAGGACTGGCCTGCCCAGAATATTCAGAACAAGAGCTGACCATTTGATGCTATAAAAAAATCTCCAAGGACCCCAATGTTTAATTTCAGGGTGGGGTCAAAGTGCATGCAACTACAATTGGAAATAAATTGCACCAATTCAGCCTACATGAGATTTGTGTTAATAATAATAATAATTAAAAAAAGCCTTTGCTGTCCAAAAGGAACGTTAGGACAAGATTACAGTTTGCCATTGAACATATAGGCAAAGACCATTCCTTCTGAAACAATGTGCTTAAGACTGATTAATCAAAGATAGTTTTTTTTTTGGTCATAGTAACAGTAGGCATGCTTGCCGCAAACCGAATATAGTATTTCACATACTCATAACAACTGTGAAGCATAGTGGTATAAATAGTATGATTCGGTGTTGCTTTGCCGCTTGAGGGCCTGGAACACTTGCAGTCCTCAAATTAATAATCAATTCTGCAGAATATCAGAATGTGCTTGATGAGAAAGGGAGGCTATCTGGTCAATAGTTGAAGCAAAAATAAGTCTTTCAACATGATAATAATCTGATTCAAATCCACCATACAGTGTCTCACAATGAAGAAAAAGTGGCTTGTGGCCTGCCCTGGTCAAAGCCTTGATTTGATTCCCATTAAAATGTATTGGGGGATTTGGGCAGTTCATGCAAAACACAAACTTCTCACAACTGACGGAATTTTGCATGGAGAAGTGGTCAAAATGTGTCCGTTTCAAACCTGGTGGGCAGTTTTACAGAATGCCTACAATAAGTCATTTCTGCTGAAGGGGCAATAACAGCTTTTGATGCCAAGATTATACTTATTTTTTCCACAGCACATCATTATATTGATATTTTGGTTGAATTACTTGGGAAACCACTTATAACTAGTATTAAATATAGTTGGTGCCACCTTGTAATGTTTGCTAAAGGGGGGAAATGGTTAGTTTTTTCCATTGTCTGCTCTGGATATCTTTGTACTAAGCCTAACTGTAAATATTACCCCTCATACAGAAATTCAAGGCATTCTTCAATCAGAATGACACCAATGATCCCAATAGGGACACGTGTGCCATCCTCACAGTGGAAGGGAGGACGTTCCCTGTGGATGTTTTCTATACACAAAGGTCAGCATCTTTTTTTCCTCCTTCACATAGACTTCTCCATCTGTTTATTGTTATGTTATATGTTTCTCCAATCATCTTCCAGGCCAGCAACCTGAGAGATGATTGACTCCTCCTACTACAGGAAACACAAATTAACAAGAGGCTAAATACCCTGCCACCCTCTCGTCCCTCAGTTGAGATAAAGTAAACTACCTCCACCAGTGCATGATTTTTTTGTTAGCCATCACTTCTGCCAGGAGAATAGGGGAACTACAGGCTATTTCTGTCAAGGAACCCTACTTGGTCATACTGCCAGATAGGATTGTCCTTAGGCCAGATCCTTTGTATCTGCCAAAGGTGTCTTCCCAGTTTCATAGATCCCAAGAGATTGTTCTTCTTCTCTTTTTTTGTGATAAACCTAATAATGCTGGAGAGGAAGCTTTTCATTCCTTAGATGTCAGGAGATGCCTGATCGCCTATTTAGAAAATTCTAGGTCCTTCAGAAAGTCCAGCTGCCTTTTTGCCCTGTATTCAGGAGCCAGGAAGGGGTTGCAGGCATCTAATCCCACCTTGGCCAGGTCGATTAGAGAGGTCATAACTTTTGTGTATCGTGCTGAGGGTCAGGAAGTCCCCTCAACTATTAGGGCTCATTCTACTAGAGCATTAGCCACCTCTTGGGCAGAGAAAGCTGGGGCATCGGTGGACCAGATTTGCAAGGCAGCCGTCTGGTCTCACCAGGATACCTTCGTGAGGCATTACCGTGTGGAGGTGTTGTCGCCGCAGGACCTCACTTTCGGTCCTAAGGTGCTTCAAGCTGTTGTCCCGCCCTAAGGTAGGCTTGCTTTATGTGTGCTTGCTTATCCTCTCAGGTTGCTGGCCTGGAAGATGATTGGAGAAATGTTCCGTTATATACTTACCGATTAGCGGGATTTCTGTGAATCTTCCAGGCCAGCAAGCCTACTTCCCTCCCTGAATTTGGTTTGAGCATGTCTGTTGTTTTATGGATGTGTGCTTAATTTTCCCTCGTGCACTGGTGGAGGTAGATTACTTTATCTCAACTGAGGGTGGGAGGATATTTAACCTCTTGTTAATTTGTGTGTCCTGTAGTAGGAGGAGCCAATCATTTCTCAGGTTGCTGGCCTGGAAGATTCATAGAAATCCCGTTATCGATAAGTATATAACGGAACATTTCGATCTGCTTTCAATGTACATCTTTCTTTTCATCAGCCCTGTTCCAGATTACTTGAAGTCTACAGTACAAACTGTGATGAAGATCCATCAGAGTGACGTGGAAGGAGATATTCTTGCTTTCCTAACTGGCCAGGTATGAAAAGATGATCCACACTTTGTGACTGTCGCTTAACTCGATCTCTGAATAAAAAGCCTCACTGTAAAGTACATGGTTAATACTTTCCTCTCACGCTGTCTGCACCATTGAACATCACTTTAATGAAGAGAACTTGTCGCCTGAAAACTCTAAGGGAACCAGGGCTTAGAGGAGTGTTGATCTCCTTTTTCCTTTTCTCCAGATGACCCCTACGTCACTACAGTGCCTTGTGGTCTGGTTTCTTCAGAGTCTTCAGGCAGCGACTTCCCTTCATTAGGCCAACGTTTGATGGCAAAGGCAGCAGGAGAGCATTTACAATCTTCTTTAAAGGGAGACTGTTAATTCAGAGTTGCCGTTCAGTGACAGAGTCCCTTTAAAGAAGAACTCCAGGATTTGTATTTATTAACCCTTGCCGTGGGGCTACCCCCGCTCAGCAAGGGTTAAATGCTTGCTTGTGTTTAGGTTAAAAAAAAAGCTATACTCGCCAAAAGCTCAGATCAGGGTTCTTCTTAGACTGGTTCTTCCAGCATCTCTCCCCCCTCCTCTGCAGCGGTCTAAGGTCCCGTAAATTATCACATTTATACACAGTGTATAGAGGTAAGGAAAAGTCCAATGCTGCAATGTGGGAGGATACAGGCTGCAGGAAGCGCCGTGACAGCTGGCCGGCTCGGCGCTTGGGGTGGGAATATCTGTTATTTTTGTCCCTAGGCACAAACAAGCACTTAACTTTTGCAGTGTGGGAGTAGCACCACTGAAATGGTTAAGAAACGTTTTCCTGGAGTTCTTCTTTAAAGGGAGTTTATCAGAGGGGGGAAAAAAATACAAAAACTGCTGAAGATAAAAACAAATTGCACCCACCTAGAAATGCCTGCACATATTGGCACCTCCTAGAATTTTCCTGTAGCAGCCTAATCTCAGGTTCGTCTCACACGCGAAGCTGCAGCACTTCCTAAACCTTGCCTATCCCTGGCTACATTCTGCACATTATTTTTGGATGATGACACTGCCTGTTGATGGACAAGGAAAAACAAATGGTATATTATGTGTGTGTGGGAGGGGTTTTTTTTGGTGGTAAAGGGCTTATCAGCAAGTTCCAACACTACCTGGAAGGACATTTAAAGTGGCTGCTGCAGGTGCCGGCTCTTCATATCTGCAACTGCACGCCTGTAAGCATATTACATTTGTTAAAACTCTATGCAATAGCAGGCATCACACAATGACCATCGCCTACGGTAGCCTGAAATATAAAACTTATTTTATTTTGTTAATGAAGGTCCAAATACTTTGACCTCAGTGGTAATAAATAAAAAAAGCCTGAGTTAGGTTCCTCCCACTCTTATTGGCTACTGAGACACACTCATAGCATTTGGGCAGGACCTTGTCCTAAAGTTAGGGGAGTTGAGCTCTTAGCAACCAGGATCAGAGGGATGAGGGAAGATGTTTCCCTGGCTGTTCTAAGGTAAGAATTTTGCTTCGAAACGTCTATCAGGGTCTCTTTAAAGAAGACCTCTGCTTTGTATATTTGCATTTTAAACTGACCACAATGTAATTTCAGAAAATAATAGCCCTTTCTATGAAAAAAGCAAAGTTTATGGGATCCCGGTGCTTATAACATTCATAACGATTTGGACCAATTAAAAAATAAAATGGAATCTATGTGTGACCACTCCTCTTTAACATGTCATAGCTAAGTATGTAATGAGCAGTAATATTAATGACCTCTTTGTGTGTCAGTCTTGATTATGCAGTGATGGGGATCTGTGCAAACTGCTAGTCACACAGGCTTCCTGTGATATTAAAGTGGGATGGGCACAGACAGCAAGTATTTTAGGGTGTGGTTTAGGATAACTGCTAATTTCAGATTAACTGCCTCCCAGCTTCACATACTAAGACAAAATTGCTAAGAGGTCATGATAAGTAATGCCATTGGAGAAGATGTATTTTTTTTTTTTAGACCAAAGCTCTTCTCCAATGCACAGGTGACAATAAATACTGACTTTAAAGTATTCTAAATGATTTTGAGCCTTTTGGGCTAATGTAGACTTGGCAATAAATTCAGGATTTAAATCTTAAAAATGCATTTAAGTACCTTAACTGTATTTTATAGATCCTCAAATCATCTCCAAATTGGTGCTGACATTGTCCTTCCTTCTGGAGGGTGGCTACTTTTGTTCCCCCTTGGTCCCTATGTGTGTTGTAAAGTAGCCACCGCTCCAAGCTCGCTCCTGTGATGGAATACAATCTCATTACAGTTTAGTAAACTAAACGTGAGATTGTGGTGGGCAATTTACATCCAATTACCCCAACTCCGGCAAGGTACGGGAAACCAAACGGAACAGAATTCTGTTTTGGGTCACCTGACCATGACAGATCAGGGGTAATCTGATGTAAGTGGACACATGTTTGCTTACACCCGACTCCCCATCAACCTAACATGGGTCCGGTAAGTTCAGTTTTTTCCTCCCATCGGAGGACAAAACTGGACAGACACAGATGTTGCAACGGTGCATCTGTTCCGGACTGCTCAGATCAACAGGGCATCCTTTCACGGAACTGACAGGTGACCGTGTGAAGGGGGCCTTAAGCTGACAACATAGTGCCTGTTAGTGTTGCCAGCCCCAGTTTCCATAGTGTGTAGGGTCTCCGTCTCTCTGCTCTTCCCCTTAACATTTGACAGCATATCAGCTTGGCATATTTATGGCAATGTTGTTTCTTTCCCTTTTACAGGAAGAGGTGGAAAGCGTGGTCTCCATGCTGGTGGAACAGGCCCGTATCCTTGCTCGTTCAGGGCTGAAGAAGCACCTCCGTGTTCTCCCCATGTACGCAGGACTTCCCACTTCTGAACAGATGAAAGTGTTTGAAAGGGTCTCTCCCAATGTCAGGAAGGTATGCTCACCTTTGTAAAACAGGATTTTAAAGTGTATGAAAAGCCAAACCCTTTTATTTTTATTTTTGGATAGGGTAGGATTAAGGGGCCTGTCACACTATATGCAATGCGTTCCGGTGCGGTTCAAGCCCGAAACGCACTGGATCGCATAGATCAAGCCAGGCTGCGTTCTGGAGTGACGGGGGGCGTGGTGGTGCCATTCATGTCAATGGCACCGCATTGCTATGCCCTGCACCGGAACAGGAGCTACAAGAATGTCCTCCGGTGCAGTGCGATCGGACAAAATGCTGCATGCACTATTTTTTCCGATTGCACTGCGCCGGAACGGAGGGCATTCCTGTACTTCGCGTTTCCGTGCGGGAGATCACACTGCGGGCAGCGGGCGCATCTGCGGATTGACATGAATGGCCACGCCCCCTCCTGCCCCAGAACACGGCCCGGCTTGATCTATGCGATCCAATGCTTTTCGGGCTCAAACTTCGCCGGATCGCACTAGATAAGGTATGACTGAGCCCTAAACCCCAATTGTGTTATTTTTTGCTGTCTGTGTCCTGCTGGGGAAATTGTCGCCCCTTTCTGTCTTGGAGATGCTGCAGGAAGTAAGAAGAAATATCCTCATTGGAAGATTTTGCCTCATCTCTTGCATTCATAACAACTTTAAAATGTAAGATTTCCCCTTTCTGTCCCAAACAAAAAGAAAGGTGAATCCTCCCATCAAGGACACAGACAGCCACTTGTTAGAGGGTCTAACACTTTTCCTCTTTATCCTACCCCTCCCCCTACAGATCCATACCTACTTTAATATGTCTGCCAAGGTCCCTTCAATCCTTTGCTTCCCGGCAGCAAAAATCTTCTTAGTCCCAGTTTTCCTTGCACACTTAATCCCTATTGACTTCTATAGGCATGTCAGCAAATCACCTCCTGTATCAGTTGATGGGCTTATCAGTTGCCTACCTGTAGATGTCTACAGGTAGGCAACTTCTACCTAGAAGATTCACCCCCCCCTCCCATTTGTCCTGGAAATCCAGAGTGTTACAGTAGTCACTGTAAGAAGAACGCTTTACAATTTTTCCAGTGATGGAACTTGTGTTGGTGACAGCTAAGTGGGGGTTTTGCTCTCACTTGCTGTTGTGTCTCTGGGTTGAGGAACTGAAGGGAAATCTGCTCAACTGGACAAAAGTTTCGACTTTAAATCACCTAGCAGCTTTCTATGTCTCCCAGGGGATTCTGATGGTGACAACTCTGGGCTTTTATCCTGAGGCCTGCACACTTCCATTGGCCATTTTAAGGAATCTTGCTCTGTCTTTGAATTTATTTTTTATTATGGATAATGAAAATGGAAAAATACAATCTCCCCAAGGTGGGGGGCACACACACAGACCTCCAAGGAAATCTCACTATTGTCATTTGCCAAGTCATATATGGTCATTTTAATGACCTGGTCATTTTAATTCACTTGTGTCAAAAGACACAACAGGAAGTGAAAGGAAAATCCACACTTAGATCGTTTCGACTGGAACAAGTGTTCCTATTGGAAGATTACAGCTCCGTGCTGCGTGCAGGGCCGTACCAAGCAGCTCCCGGGAAGGACAAGTGCTGCGTGTGATTAGTACGTCCTTCTCTATGGGACTACGTGGCCGTACGCTCACCCGCCCTGCACGTCCGTGCGGGTGAGCGTACTCGTACGCTGACAGGATGGATCCTGTCTGCATCTGAGCGAGGAAACACGTACCCCTAGGGACCTGTACTTCAGGTGAGTGTAGGGGGGCGTACGTCCGCCTAGTCCCATAGAGAAGGACGGGGGCTGCGTACTAATCACACGCAGCACCTGTCCTTCCCGGGAGCTGCTTGGTACGGCCCTGCACGGAGCTGTACGTGCAGGCCGATTACAGTGTGGATGAGGCCTTAGACTAACACAAGTTCTAACTCTTCCCTGCTCTATCCAAAACCCAAAAATGTATGTTTGACTTTAGGTACACTTTAGGACCCTGTTCTTTTCTCATTTTTCTTCTGTATGATTTTCTTCTTCTTTTTTATTGTTTTCCTTCATCGTTCTTAATCATATGACTTTCTCCCTTCAGGTAGTTGTTGCCACTAACATTGCAGAGGCATCCATCACTATAAATGGAATCGCCTTCGTTATAGACTGCGGATTTGTCAAGCTGCGAGCGTATGACCCCAAACGAGCGGTTGAATCTTTGGTCGTGGTTCCTGTGTCACAAGCCTCAGCCAATCAAAGAGCTGGCAGGAGTGGAAGAAACCGATCTGGCCAGTGTTATAGGCTTTATACAGGTGATAAATTATTGCAACATGCTCAGTCATTGAAAAAGCTGCTAACTCTAATAGGGAACTAATGCTGCTTTGTCAAATATGAGAACATCCACTTCATTACCTTTAAGCTGAACTCTGGGATAAGAAAAGATTGTCTATGCAAGAGGCATGTGTATTCTTCTTTGAATCTTGGTGAGCTTTGTGTATTTCTTCCAGATCTGTGCAGTAATCCAGTGTGAGACTTTGCCTTTGTACAGGAGCATCCTGAAATAAAGACCAGTCACTGCTGCTCTTGCTACATCTGCAGGGTGACTGGTCTTGTATCAGTCCCCTCCTGTAGCTTTCTGCAAGGCAGCCTGTAGGGGGTGGAGCTGCTGGGTCTCTCCTGCAGCCCTGCTTACTGCACAGACTATGTACAGTACCGTAGTGAGATCACTGCTCCTTTTACAAGGTAATAACTCGGTCTGCACAGGCATTTGGTGCACACACACAGTGTATTGATATCCTTTGTAGCTATTGAGGAATATATTTGAATGAAAATGTTTGTGCCTAGAGTTCAGCTTTAAGAGATAGCTAATCTTTTTGTACAGTTGTGCTTTTAAAACAACTCCCTTCATTCAAGCATCCCCAGACCCTACACTTGCCTATACTTGTTACTTGAAGATCTTCACACTGCTGGGAGCCCCATAGCCTTCTAATGAAAAGTCTCCGGGATGGGCGACACATGCACAATGGAATCTCTATTTGCATTCCCAAAGAGTGGACAGCCTTTCCATAAACACAAATGGGGATTCTACTGTGCATGTGCAGCCTGGCCAGTTTAATTCTGCTGCATTCTCAATCCACCCAGAAGAAAGATAATTCTTGGCAACAACTGGAAGACTGACCTGAGAATGCTCAAGTCCTAGAAAGGTGTAACCAACCAGCGGAATAATTCTACTGCCCGTATCTGAAATATTTGGTCGCCAATGATTCACAATCGTAGGGTGGTCATGATGTTATAAAGAGTATTTTACGTATTATTATGACTACGTGACAAAAGGGATCTATAATCAGTAAAATCCCAGATCTCGAGTCTTCTGGATATTATATAAGATCTGAATAGACTTATGACTTCTTCCTAATCGTTCTATACATGAGCCTGCATTGGCATTGTGGGAAAGTTATATAGAATATAATGTGTGTGTTACAATGGTTTGGATATTCTTGTCATCCCATTACTCTGATTTCCAGTGATGTTCTTGGCTTACTATACTCCCGCATCCTGTCTGCATGTGTCCCCCCAGGCTACTTTATACAAATATCTTGGGATTCAGCAGGATATAAAATCCCATTCATTGCAGCGCACTTGTTGTATCATGTCCCCACACCCCTCTCACTCCGAGGTGTGTCACTTTACAGCTTTGAAGTAGCGGGTGTAATCATCCGATTTCCCGCCTTCGTGTTTGAATTTTCAAATAATAACACTTGCCGTTCATCCGCTCTGTAATTTGCTGCATGAGGTTACCAGAAGATATTTAAAACCAGGGTATGGTTGGCAGTGCAGACTTCCACACCCATCACACAGAGGGTTACAGAGATCACGTTTATTTACACAACGGGCGCCAAAAGAACTTAACATCGAGTAGAAGAGAGACATCTAACATACTAGTGTGATAATACACAGACCCGAAGTTAACTAGATCGGAAAATTATTCATGTCTTTGGAGTTTATTAGCAGTTTGCTTCCAGAGGAAGGCCAAATAAAAGTCTCTGGGCTTCTGTGACCAACTATGAAGACTGTTTTAAAAATTGTCCAATTCAAGTCCACTCTCATAAATGTTTAGCTTCCAAGATTTCAGTGATCTTCTTCTATTCTGCTCTTCTAGAGATTGTCATGGATGAGCAGATATCTGCTCAAGAATGACCGACATAATCACCTGCTCACTCGGAGCACTTTGATCCTTTCCTCTGCTACATAGTAGTAGTGTCTGTGCTTACTGGTAGAGAACCAGTTAATACTTTCCCCCCACGTGCTATGGTTCCTCTCACCAGCCCCCATGTCACTACTGTGTTCTTTATGACGCTGCCACTGACGGAAGGAACCATAGCCTCCAGTGGCTGATATACTATATGGCACTCATGGATTTGTTGCATGGTGGTGCAGCTTTTACCTCTGCAAAAGATTAAAAAATGGACTCCCAAGGGACAGATAAGTGTTAATTTCTTTAATTCGGCAACAGTGTTGCTTTTGGCCAGGTTCACACACTTTGTGCATTGGTGCACTACGGGGCCAGTTATTCTTAAAGTGACGCTAAACTCGGGAGTTACACCTTCTGACAACTTTTTCAATAAACGATTATAATCGATTATGTCGATTAGTTGTTGCAGCCCTAGCTGCCACTGTCCTTCCTTCTGGAGGATGGCTACTTTTGTTCCCCATGGTGCCTGTGTGTGTTGTAAAGTAGTCACCGCTCCAAGCTCACTCCTGTGATGTACTAAAATCTCAGGTTTAGTTTTCTCATTTGTGTTGAGATTGTAGTCCATCACAGGAACAAGCTTGGAGTGGCTACTTTACAACACACACAGGGACCATGGGGCACAAAAGTAGCCCCCCTCCAGAAGGAAGGACAGTGTCGGCACCAATTCAGAGATAATTTGAGGATATATAGCCGAGTAATACAATAATAACATACATGTTAGTTAATAGGTACTTGAATGTATTTTAAGATTTAACTCCTGAGTTTAGAGTCAATTTAATGGCATACCAAATGCACCTGCATTTCAATGCACTACTGCAGGTTGTGATGCACTTCATTAACTCACCAAAAAAGGTGCATGCACTGTGTTTTGTAGTCAACCCAGTCATATGAATAAGAACATGCCAAACTGATCAAATAGAGTCCACAAAATGTTTAATAATTACATTGATAAAACAGCCAAAGCGTTTCGGGGAAAGATGCAACTCCCTTCCTCTCTGCTAAAAACTGAAGGTATGACTTGGTATCAGCATCTTGCAATCACCTGTGCAGCATCACTGAGGCTGGGAGAGGGGGATGCAACACGCGGGGCCAATAAGATGCAAAAGTGTTGACCAGGAATATACTGATAGGTGGATATAGTATGACAGAGCAAAGAGATTTCTTCACCTGTCTCCTGCTGTTCCTCCACTGTCCAATCAGGTGACGGTGGAGGGTGGATAACCTTCTGCAGTTTGATTGTAACAGAGAACGTGGTGTAATCCGCCTTGCTGTGCTGCATGGTTGGGCTGTGTTAATCTGTAAAGTGTATGTATTTCATCGTTGTATTTAACTGCTTGGAGTCTGGCTTCAACTGTTTTTTTTTTGTCTATTCTTTTTACACTTTCTGGATTTACTGGTTTAATTTACGTTTTTTATGCCCCTCACAGAGGAGGATTTCCAAAAGCTTCCTCCTGCCACAATTCCAGAAATGCAAAGAAGTAACCTGTCTCCTGTGATCTTGCAGCTGAAAGCACTCGGCATAGACAATGTCCTGCGCTTCCATTTCTTATCGGTGAGTCACGGGTGCTATTGATGTTGATGCATCTTAATAGAGGAGAGTCGGGATATGGAGAGTTTGTCATTAGCTGTCTGAAATCTGACAATTTAAGTCTTTGTGTTCTGTGCAGTTGAACTGAAACAATGCAATAAGCAAGTTATTTGGAGTTAAGCACAAACATTGTTTCAGTTCAACTGCACAGAACACAAAGGCTGTAACACAATGGTGCTACAGGGGTGTAACCACATGTTAACGCCTCTGCACACTGCTATACATTTTTGGATACTTCAAGTAAGCCTTTGCATAAAAACAGGGATTCTTGATTCACACACGTTGACAAAGTCACTCACCCTGAGCATGTATTGGAAAGTGGATCTCTAGCGCTTCACAGAAATGTTTCCGTTCCATTACATGGTACATGTCAGTGACCAGACTTCGCTCTATAGCTTATTGCACTATTTTTATTTGATTACATACATTGCTTCCATCCTTCTCCAACCAACTGGCCCCCAATGTAAAGGAGTCCATTTGCCACTGACCACCAATGTAAAGAAGCCCTTCTCTCAGTGGCCACCAGTGTAAAGGAGTCCTTCTCTTCTCTCAGTGACCACCAGTGTAAAAGAGTCCTTCTCTCACTGCCCACCAGTGTAAAGGAGTCCTTCTCTCACTGACCACCAGTGTAAAGGTGTCCTTCTCTCACTGCCCACCAGTGTAAAGGAGTCCTTCTCTCACTGACCACCAGTGTAAAGGAGTCCTTCTCTCACTGACCTCCAGTGTAAAGGAGTCCTTCTCTCACTGACCACCAGTGTAAAGGTGTCCTTCTCTCACTGCCCACCAGTGTAAAGGAGTCCTTCTCTCACTGACCACCAGTGTAAAGGAGTCCTTCTCTCACTGACCTCCAGTGTAAAGGAGTCCTTCTCTCACTGACCACCAGTGTAAAGGTGTCCTTCTCTCACTGCCCACCAGTGTAAAGGAGTCCTTCTCTCACTGACCACCAGTGTAAAGGAGTCCTTTTTCCACTTAGCACCAATGTAAGGGAGCACCGTTCTCATTGGTTTCCAATATAAGGGATAACTACACTGACTACAATTTTATCTGTCTGCTTCTTTTTTTCTGGCCCTTACTATTATTTCTTTCATTTCATAGTCACTACTAGAAACTAAAAAATAAAATAAAAATCTTTTCTAGGTGTCACATACACTAGGTACATCCCATTTCTTATTGTTTTTATTTATTATTATATCCCCGACTTGATGATCTTGAGGCAATGAATTGGAGATATAATAATTTTTAGCATGGGTTTCCAAGGAACTGGAAATTATTTCAAGGGTTCCTCCCATGGTTAAAAAGGTTAAAGGCTAAGTTCACCTTTTTAGATATTTCATGTTACACAAATATTTAGGGTGTAACATGAAGCATTGTCACATACACAACCCCCAAAACCACCTCCCCTTACCTGAATCGCAGGGTCAGGGTATTGTTTGAATTTAGTGCTGCTGTGCCTGGCTCCACCCACCGCTTTATCCAGGTCTGGGATCACTCATAGTGAATGACTACATGTCCCATTTGCCTCTGCGGGAGAGGGACTATGCAAAGCAATCCCTCCTTTTTCAGTGCCTCACACCGCTCTGTAGTTCAGCTGCATGTCCTCCAGCTCCACCTCCATACAGGCCCGAGACTGGGAAAAAACATTGAAAGAGTCTGTGCATTGTACCATCAATGGACTGATTGATTGCTGATGCAATGCTCTGCAGGCTTCAATGCAAAAAATGAGTACTTGCACATTGATCATTAGATCAGTGTTGCTGCATATACTACTTTTTTCTAAATACTGCAGATGGCAAATGCCTATATAGGAAATATTAGAGATTAATTTGTACCACCAGATGTCACTGCAGATCATGGTAACTGGCTCTTCTCAAAATATCTGGATGGTGCAACCATGCCTACGTGTACTTAAGATGCCCATACACTATGTGAATATTGGTCTGTTCTTGATGAACCAAACAGAGTTCGCACAGTGGGTGTCCCTGTTGGCACCCTTCCTCCTGGAATTCCTTGATCAGAAGATCGAAGGAGCTGGTTGAAAAATCTTTTGGCGGAGCTTCAGAGTTTTGAATGATCCTCCTGGAATGTGCAGTCACCTCGCTCTGTGTGTCAGCTGTTCCTAAGGCAGAACTAAAGTCCACCTGTACTTAGATCTGCTTCAAGCTCCCCCTCCACTGTTGACATGTTATCCCCGGCTTTTTTCAGGGTTTATGGTCTTTAAGCAGGATGATTGGCATCTGCTAGGTGCCAGATCATTCATCCTGGCACCTAGAAGATGCCGGGATTATTCACTGAGCTGCCACAGCCGCTTTGAGAAAAAGAAGAGGGGTTTTTGCCACTGATGGGGAACCCTCATATCTTAAACTCTTCATTCATTTAAAAGGCTTTTTCTTTTAGCTATTATAACTCTGATAAGTACTTTATACATTATATAAAGTTTGTGGGACAGTTTGTGCTGAATCCCATGTTTTAAATGTTGTCTTTATCTTTTTTTTTTTTTTGCACAGCCACCGCCTGCACAGTCAATGGTTCAAGCTCTGGAGCTGCTGTATGCATTAGGAGGTACAAATTTCAATGTCTTTTATCAGATGCCTTAGAATTTGTCCATCCTAAGCTGCAATATGAATTGTACAAGAGAGTAAATAAGTATTCTTATATATACAACTGTTTCATGAATGGAGAATAATTGCGACTTTGTTGTGTATAAATACATTTTATTAGATCTCCGGGGGTACAACCAAATAAGCAGTTGAAATTCATTGATGGGAATTTTTTTTTCTTGCTAAAGATATTTTTTATTTTGTTCACCCATTCTTGTAATTTCTGCACCTCTTACTACACAGACAGAAAGATCATTATATTACTTCTTGATTCAGCTTAACTGCTTGCTAAATTATATCTCAGCTAATTACTCAGGCAATAATGGGGAGTAGACTGGAGGTAACATAAAACTACATTGGAAAAGAAGGGAATGTATGTTACTTGTCTTGCTGTGCCATATGGCAGAGGTGTGTAAACCACAAGACCGGTTGAACAAAATTACAAATCATTTTTCCTTGTGCACTTTAAAGCTATCTAGCTGTTTGCTTGGAGCTCCACTTTAAAGATTTATTCAAGTTGTATTTTGAAGAGACTATCATGGGGGGGAAAAAAACAAAAAACTATTGCATGTGTAAAGTGCAGGTACATAGAGGTGCCTGTGCGTACCTGTTATATGTTCCCGAGTTCTACTGTGACAGCCAAATGCTGCAGCATTCTGACAGCCAATGGTCCCAAGTCTTGCTTGCCACACAATTCTGTTGGCCTATCTCTATGATGGGCAGCCTTATTGGCCAGCAGAAATGTGCAGGAGGCAGGAAGGGGCAGTTTTAGGAAGTGCTGAAGCTTTGCCTGGCATCCAGCCATATTAGGAAGGCTTAGGAAGCTGCTGCAGGTAGGTTTAGTTTCCTCTATTTTATACCTGCTGCAGTTTTGAGTATCTACCCCATTACAGAGCATTTTAAAGGATTCCAGTTTAATTAAACTTGAAAGGTATTTTGTTTGATGAATATTTCACATATATTAATGTTTTAGAAATACATGATTTGCATAATATAATTTTATTATATTAAAAATAAAGGATCCTTTCAAAATAGAAATATTAGAGCTGCCACTTCTGTCCTTTTTGTAAGGTTTAGGTTCCAGGGCCATGATCCTGATCCTTCCTTCCTTATTGGGGAGTCACTGACCTGGAACAAGCATGTCCATATTGGGTTTTCCAACACTTCATCGGCTGCATGTTTTGGGCCAGTGACTCTAAGTAGCAAAACAAAGATAAGGAATTCAGCCCTTCAAAAACAAGTCACCAATCTCAGCCTCCATATTTCTACTCTGACAGGTTCCCTTTATGTCAGGTTATTCTCTTTTTGTGTAGTTATATGTAACGTTTTAGGTACTGCAATCAAAACTGATATTAGTTTTGCATGGTTTCTGGCAAGTTGATTAACATGCTGGAACTTTATAGCCAAAAGTTTGTGGACCCTTGATCATCACACCTATATGAGCTTGTCGGACATCCTGTTACAAAATTATGGCCATCATTAAGGCGTTAGTTCCTCGTTTGCAGCTATAACCACCCCCACACTTCTTAGCTTTCCATAAGATTTTGGAATCTTACGGAATCTGTTTCAGCATTTCTGCTGGAACAGAGAAGGGTCTTCACCAAACTATTGCCGCTAGGTTGGAACATACAGTTATCTAAAATGTCATTTGTATGCCGTAGCTTCAATAGAATTCTTCTTTGGAAACACCTGAACTCAGTAATTTGGAGGGGTGATAACATACTTTGACCATATTGGTATGTGTGATGGTCAGGTGTCCATGAGCTTTTGGCCACATAGTGTATCTTAGGGACTTCTGTGTTGCAAAGTCCGCAACCAGCCAAAGGTCTTTGCTTCCCCTACTGCAGCCATTAAAAAAACAATTGTTTCAATCTTCCCTAATGCATTCTCTATAATGTAGATGAACCAGCGCTTATTATTGTTATAATGAATAGAACCTCCTTTTGCAATTTGTCTCTCAGGTCTGGATAAGCATTGCCGACTGACAGAACCACTCGGTGTGCGAATGGCAGAGTTCCCTCTTAATCCTATGTTTGCCAAGATGCTCTTGGAATCAGGTACATTTTCAATCAACATTTACAGCTGCTTGGAGGCAATATCAATTTTTTTCTAACAGCAAAAATAATATGAGTATATCCATATTACTTACTGGAAAACATCGACTAATGAGTATAGTTGGAAGACCTGTTGTTATTAACTGTGAACAAAGATAAATAATAGGGATGCACCGATACCGGTTTGTCAGTATAAAGTACCGATACTTTACTTTCGGTACTTGTTAATACTAAGTACCGATACCGGTGCTTCCGCTGGCATGGAGCCAACATTCCTGACAATCTGATTGCCCGAGTAGCTTACACCATGTTGTCTGGCCAGCTTGATTGAGCTTGGCCTGGGAAACTGGCTTCCCAGCCAATCGGCATCGAGCCGGCAGTGCCGTAAGGGAACATGGAGCCGAGTCATGACCCCCCCTCCCAGCTTCCTGATTGGCCGGGAAGCTGTCTTGATGCTGATTGGCCGGGAAGCCAGCTTCCCAGCCAATCAGCAAGGAGCCGGCTTCCTGGCCAATCAGCATCGAACCGGGAGGCCGGTCATTACTCGCTGCCCAGCTTCCTGATCGCACGGGAAGCTGGCTCCATGTTCCCCTACGGCACTGCCGGTTAGAGTAAATTTTTCCTCTAACCGGAAGTTCTGGTATCATGGAAAGGTATTGGAGCATTTGGGTGAGTATGAGTACTCCACAAATACTCGGTATTCGTACCGATACTAGTATCGGTGCATCCCTAATAAATAATCTGTATCTTTTTTCTTTTGGTTACCTCCCTGCCAATTGCTTGTTAGCCTTGCTGCTGTAATCTTGTCGTGTTGCCCACGCTTACTCAGTGGCCTCCCAGTGACCTCCCAGAGCCTCACTCCAACCATACGGATGCAGCCAATTAAAGTCTATGGAAACAAGATTTTTGATGCAAGGCTGTAAACATGGTAGAGATGTGTAGACTAGCGACTGAAAGCAGAGTAGATTAGCTACTTAAATAACTGCTTACTGTTAACATTGTGAGACAACCAGTAAAACACAATTATTGCACTGCAAAGCAGGAATTAGCACCTAAATATATAATGAGCAAACATGGCTGCCTCCATGTAGATATATAATTACAAACTATACATAGAAACAAGGTGTTTGTTAATTGATAACATTTACATAAAGATGATGCCTTTTTTATTTTGGAAAAGAAAATTAAAGGAATATATATGTCAATCTTCTTTTTTAAGGCAATTTTGGATGCTCAGCTGAAATTCTGAGTATTGCAGCTATGATGCAAATTCAGAACGTCTTTGTCCTCCCTCCAAACCAGAAATCGCAAGCGGTGAGTATATGCTTTTGGTCAGTAGGTCATGAGATTTTATAATTGGAAATCCAATTGTCAGAAAGTTCAGAACATCAGAAATTAATCAAGTTAACTGTTAGTGCTGTTATTTTGTATTCTTTATAACTTTATATGTAGACCAGCGTGATTTTTTCCCCCAGTGCCTGCAAATTGTAGATTTTACCCAATCTTGTGTTGGCAGGAAAAGAGGGACAGTATGGGCAGGTCAGTTATTAGAAGATGTGAATAGCATGGCACAGTTTAAAGCTGGACCTCTATCCAAAGCTTTCATTTCTAGTGGAGTGAGGAAAGGTTTGTTCTAATCCAGACCTAATTTTATAATGAGATTTCCCCCCATTTTTCAAACATTAGATTCTGACACTGGGATCCCAGTGTTGGTATCTTTTGGCACTGAAGGGTTAGTGTGAGGGTTACAGGGTGAGCTATTCTGAGGGTTTGGGAAGGCTTAGGGCAGGGGTAGCCAAACTCCGGCCCTCCAGCTGTGATGAAACTACAAATCCCATAATGCATCTCTCTCCGAGAGTCATGTCTGTGGCTGTGAGAATCTTGCAATGCCTCATGGGATTTGTAGTTCCACCACAGCTGGAGGGCCGGCGTTTGGCTACCGCTTAGGGTAATGGGGAGGGTTAGGGTTATTGGGAGGATTACTGTTGGTGTTACTTGGAAGGTTACTTTGAGGATTACTTGGAAGGTAAGTGTGAGGATTAAAGGAAGGCTTAGTGTTCGGGTTACTGGGAGGGCTAGTGTTAGGGTTACTGGAAGGGTTAGTGTGAGGGTTGCAGAAGGAGTTATTGTTTGGATTACTGGAAAGGTTAATGTTCAGGTTACATGGAGGGTGATGTCAGATGGTTGTAGGCACTGCTCTCAATGTAGGGATCTATGTGCAGTGAAAGCAAATATATTGATTGGCCTATTCTATCAGACAAGCTTCCTGGTCCCCCTCTCTGCTGTACTTTTTCAGCTCATTCCATCTGCTAGGGGTTGGTGACATCAAAACTATCTTATATTAACTCCTAGTTGATTCTCAATAGTAATATATAGGACCACTCACTCCAAAGAGGGGAAGCAAGAAGTTCAGGCCAGAGCTTAAAAATGGTCATCGTAAGACCAGATAGAGGGGGCGATCTCCACACTAGTACACATCAGTAATGTATAGAAAGGAATTCACAATGGAAATGGCGTGGTATTTCAAAATGCTGGAAAGGACAGGAACAAGATTTGCTTTTTAGTATCTCGAAAAAACAGATATTTAGACACTTTGAAAGAAGCTTCTATTTCTGGTATTTAATATTAGAACCTCTGTTTTACAAGCTTTTCACCATCTATGTTTACAGATAAGAGAGCAACGGAAGTTTGCTGTAGAAGAAGGAGATCATCTGACCATGTTAAATGTGTATGAGGCCTTTATCAAGGTAGGAACTGGCTTTGCATTGTGCCATATCTCCATAACATCTTGCGGTGTACCTAGTGCCCAGACCACAGGTATATTGGGGAATATTCAGTATCCAGATTACCTGTATAATGGTGCTTGAACATATCTTGGGTGCTGCAATTCCCAACATATAATATTACTTTTTTTGTTGTTTTGAGCACTGATTTGCCACTTCCTGCTCCTCACCATGTTCCTATTGGTCTGCTAATATCCCGGTTGGTCTTACAGGTCAGTAGAAACACATGTTCTGGGACAGGCCAACTTGACAAATTGCCAACACTACCAGGAAGTGTCAGAACTTGTTTGTTGTACAGTATATGTCTGAATGTTTGTAGCACCTGACCATCACACCCATTTAAACATGTTGGACAGCCCATTCCAAAAGCATGGGCATTAAAACCGAGTTGGCCAACAAGACTTTGGAGTGTGTTTCTAGTAATTTGTGCCCATTTAGCCAAAAGAGCATTTGTGAGCTCAGGTATTGATGGGTTGGATGAGAAGACCTGGCTTGCAATTGGCACTCTAGTTTGTCCTCAAGGTGTTCAGTAGGGTTAAGGTCAGAGTTCTTTTGAGGCCACTCAAGTTCCTACATAGCAAGCTCATCACACCATATCTTAAGAGCTGACTTTGTGCACAGGGGCACAGTCATGCTGGAACAGAAAAGGGCCTTCCCAAACTGTGATTACAAGGTTGGAAGCACCCAATTGTCTATAGTATCTGTGTATACAGTAGCATTAAAGATGACCTTTAACTGGAAACACCTGAACTCAATCATTTGGAGGGACATCCACATACTCTTCCCCATATAGTGAAGCACTCTGAGATTCGGGGCATCTAGGGTGCTGAAGATTACATGTAAATCTATCCATTGTAGTTAGTAACTTGTTCAGTATACTTTAATAGCTAGCTGCTGGATACAGCCATTGGTGTGTACGTTGCTATAAGAAGGCAGAAGCATTAATACCCCTATATCTAAACATACTTTAAAATAGTGCATCATTGTGTAGTTACTTTTTGAAGCTCATTGTTTCTTAATGTACTCATATGTACAAGTAATCATGAAGATTGATGTCCTTTTATCAACTATATTTTTTTAGATCTTTTTCTGTGCAGTGGGTTGACGTATATCCAAAGTCAGTAAGGGGCCACTGTGCAAAGTGTGATCACAGGAAGGTAGTTTACCTTGTTGCGGTATTCTGTCATACTGGTTTATTACTTTATTTTAATTCTGTGATATATGTTTTGTTTTTTTTCAGTTTAACAAGAGCTCACAGTGGTGTCAGCAACACTTCCTGAACTACAAGGGGCTTATGAGAGCAGTCACAGTGCGGGAGCAGCTGAAGAAAATGCTCAGCAAGTTCAGAGTACCCAAAAATTCCAGTGAAGGTGAGACAGAGATGGGGCTGTGAGCTTCACCACAGGTGACAGTGACGCAGGAAGTAAACTACATTTTGTGTACCTGCCTAAGGTGTTTCGTTAGCATTTTGGTTGTTGGTGCCCAGAGCTCGGTGCCAGGTTGATCTTGGTGCCCTCCGACCTTAAGCTGGCTCCTAGGCTGGCTGTAATGTGCAACCACCCAACTCACCCAAGCCTTCAAACTTAACCTAAACCCTAAATTAAAGCTAAAGTTTAACCTCGTAGCTGAAATATAGAAGACATAGAGCGCCTCCATCGTGTAAAATCGTTTTAATGAACAAGGATAAAAAACAGTTAGATTTGTACTCACAAAAGGAGCTGAAAAACAGGCATGAACAGATCACATAAGGCAGACTTAGCCTGCCTGCTGTCAGTCCTTCTTTGGTTTACGCGTTTCCGAGGCCACGCCTCCATCAGAACCAATGCTATTGCGTTCTATATTTCAGCTACGCGGTTTCCCTAACCAGCGAGAGCAGCCCTGGAAGTGTTATACACTGAAGATTTTTATCTCTACCCTTATCACTGACTCGTGTTGCTGGCGCTTTTGTGCTTACTTGTAAAGTTTAACCTGCTTATATTGTGCCTGCCCAGGTTAACTCTCTCCCTTTTCAATCTGCTAATAACATTTTTTAAATAAAACCTTCCTGTTTTCATTACATACCTTATTTTAAACCGAATGTTATCATTGGGTCTCTGTGCATTGCAGGCAGGTCATGGCTGGTGGGGATCGGCAGGGTCCTGTACATAGCTACCTAAACACCTCACTCTGCACCCTGCCTCAGATCATTGCTCAAGAGCCCTCAGCCCTGATGCAAGCAATAGGCTCGTTCTTTGGAGGATTTATGCAAATATCAAAAAGCTTTGATGGGTGTGGGTCAGTCTTGAAAAGTGGGAATTTTTAAGAAGACTGCATTTGCAATGTGTGGTCTGCCATTGCACACCTTGTTCTAACTATACTAGTTGGCTGGCTGGCTGGATTACTGTTGTTTCATTAGTCACTGGCTCGGGACAAATCGCGCAGATTAGGATTTGAACTTCACTTGTTCCAAGTGTCTGAGGATGTGTTGAGGACCATCATAGAGAGAGAGACTTGTATATCATATGTATAAAAGTTAAAGAGAGAGATTTTTGAATGCAACTAATCGATTATTGAAGTAATCGTACGCTGCAGCCCTAAGCATGAAACTTAGTCGTGTCCTGACATATTCAAACATAGATTGGCACCTACTGCTTGCACATTACACCCGCCAGGTGTATCCTAAAATGCTGATGTGGGTGCATGTTGCAGCTATTTGCCTCTTCTGTTCTCTCTCTCAAAGGATGCTCAAGAATAAGCATCACTGATGTTATTTAAAACATGCAAGTCCATTGTTCAGTGAATCTGCTGCCTACGTTTACCAGCCGTTAGGGTTCTGCCTGATGGAAGCTGTGGAGGGATTCCTGTGTAGAGCTACATCGGATCCTTTTGCCTTCTACCTTTTCAGGTCTTACATAATTGGATAATGCACGTTAAAATTCCCCTTTCTCTTTAGGTGATCCGGATCCCATATTAAGATGTATAGTGTCTGGATTTTTTGCCAATGCTGCCAAGCTTCATTCCACAGGTGCCTACAGGTAACTGAATACATTGAATAATATATACAATCTGATTGTTCAACCTTCTTTATATTTACCAATACCTTTTTATAGTGTGAGGGACTAACCTGACTTTGTATAAACTGAATGGAATTTATAACCAGGCGCTCACGGTACACAGCTGTAAATAAATCAGAGGAGACTGTAGAGATAGTAATTGTGTTGGCAGCTTTAGTTTTTAATGGCGAGTTGCATAAATATAAGAAGACAAAGCAACCTGTTGTCCATAAAAACAGACCCAGATTGTACCTGATTGGAGTCAGATATTGTATCATTTTTTAGAGGGAACTAAACCACAAACACCTTGTAGGGCCCCAACGAGCTCTTGCCATAGTGTGCAAGTTTGCTTAGCATATGTCCGCAGTATGGCACTCTTACATTTAGGAGCCCTCCTAATGCCGCGATGCCTGTGCTTCCCCTCCTTTCCTCTGGTGCTTCTGTTTTCTTCTGGGTTTGGAGTCCTCATGCATCTTGATTGGACTCACAAGAGTCCATGTATACATACAGCTTGTAGATTGAAATATGGTTTTGGTTCTGACGAAGATGGTTTAACCATTGAAATGCGTTAACCCTTACCTATCCATTGCCTTTGATGATGCTCTGATGTCCAGTCGGCTTAGTGGCATATGACTTTCATTGTGTGCATGAATCTACAAGCTGTGTATATACATGGACTCTTGTGAGTATAAAATTTGCTTTTATATCAATTTGTAATAAAAAGCGGTATCACACGAAGAGAGGGCGCTGTTCTTGTTTCCTTTTTGCATATTCTCTGAGGTATCTCAACCTACAATTGAACAGCAGCCCCTCTGGTGAAATTATCCGGAATTTGGTATCTTGGGTCCCTTGGGGAGTGAGGAATTTCTGCCAAGGCGCTGAACAGTTTGGATTATACACCATTTTGATTGGACTGGATGAAGTAACTCTAGCACATGCATGGAAATTGCTTTGTCACGGCACAAAACCATACCAAGACTATAGTGAAAATTGCAGACAGAGAGTCTTTTCTCTAATAAAAATCCTACCTGTCCGCATTTTTTTATAAACTTATTTTAGATATGCTTAAAGCCTATCTGCTGGTAAAGATTAAAAGATCCCCTTACAGCCTGGCTTTCCCCACATTGCAAGGGCTAATTACTCGTTTAGGTCTAGGGTACCTGAAAAAAAAGCAGTTTTAATTAACCTTATCCCTTGGAAGTTGGTTCTTTTCTCACCTCCCCTACGCTCTGGCTTGTGATTTGTCCCTCTTGGCTATGGGCCCTGCATTATACTTTGCGATGTCAGTGGGCCTCCGACTGCTAGAGTGTAGAGGGGGAAGAGGCTGAGGGTACAGGGAGGGAGTGGGAATCAAGTAAGTAACAGTAATTTGTCCACGTACCCTAGACATAAATGAGCATTTAACCCTTGCAGTGCAGGGGCAGCCCCACTGCAGGGGGAATTTTTTTTTTTTTTATTGTTCTTGTAGATAGGCTTTAACTATTGTTACTGCGGTTTCTCAACTTTAAGCTGTATTGTAAAATGTCCAACAACTTTTCCCCCCGGTAGAATGAAAACATAAGTGCTCATTTTGTCTAGGTGGCTTAAATAAAGCAGTTTTACTCGCCTGATCCTCTGTCCTCAGTCAGCACTCACCTTTCTTCCCCTCGACCCTGGCTATGGAATGTCCCTTGGTGTCCTCATTTCTAATAAAAGTCAATGGACCCGCATAATGTCAGCGGTTGTTTGACTACCGGAGCCCAGGAGAGAAGAGGCTGCAAGGACCGGCCTAACAGCCTGTAGGGCTAATAAGGTGAGTAATGCAGCTTTCTTTTGAGCCCCCTATACAAAACAAGCACTTATCTCTTGCAGTGCGGTGGGTAGCCCTACTGCAAGGGTAAGTTGTTTTTTTTTTTTTTAGTTTTTCCAGAGTTGTTTAATTACTGGAATAATCCTTGAGATAAATGTGTGATAATCGGTACACATTACCATGCATAGTGCTTCCACAGTTATGTTTTTTGCTGGTCTGTGTTTCAGTTGGTCATCGTACATCTTTTTTTTTTCCCTAAGGACAGTTCGAGATGGCCATGAGTTACATATACACCCGTCTTCAGTACTACATGCAGAGAAGCCTCCAAACTGGTGAGTGAGTTGTATCATTCGTTTATGTCTACCTATGTATCATCCATCTTATGTTTCACTGGGAAATCCAAACCTAATACCACATAAAAGAAACATGGGCTGGACCTGGCTGGTGAACTGTAGATGGCTGACCCACTTACTCTAAGTAGATGGACTACTAGAGTGACATGTTCCTGCACACATGACTGGTATACATGTGTACATTACTAGTATCAGAGGAATGTGCTATCTCTAGACAGGTGGAATGTAAGAATAATGGTGTCTTCTAAGGAATACTCCATTAAATAGACCTTTATTTTAAATATAGAGCAGTTTAGATTTTTTTTGGATGAAATTGAAAAACTGACTTTTATTTATTTTACTGATGGTCTGTGCCAGGAAAGATATGCACCTAGAGAAAGTTGATGCTCACGTTCTTCTTCTTTCTTACAGGGTGCTGTTTAGTGAAGTCATCCAAACCAGCAAGTACTACATGCGGGATGTGACAGCTGTTGAATCTGCATGGCTGTTGGAGCTGGCACCACACTTTTACCAGCATGGAACGGTACGTGCGAACACACCCAATTTTTTACTTGTGTGTGATCTTACCCAATACTACCCCAAAGTAAAATGTTGCTTAGAAATTAACAGAAAGATTAAATATTTTACATCTCATGCCATGATCCTATAAACAGTTTTCGTAAAATTGTAGAAATCAGCCACCCTGCATCATAGCGGCCCGTAACGTGACGTACCCGTACCCTGCCATTGTCCCCCCCCAGCCCGTACCCTGCCATTGTCCCCCCCAGCCCGTACCCTGACATGGCATCCTCCTTCCAGCCCGTACCCTGACATGGCATCCTCCTTCCAGCCCGTACCCTGCCATGGCATCCCCCCAGCCCGTACCCTGCCATTGTCCCGCCAGCCTGTAGCCTGACATGACATCCTCCCTCCAGTCTGTTCCGTGGACGCCATGACAGGAAGTGATGGAAATTTTTACCAATGAGGACATAAACAAAAATACATTTTTAGTACAGTGAGGAAAGTTAGCAATGTCTGATATTGTTTTTAATTTGTTTTACTGTGCCTTCCTATCCCGGTGACAACTACACCCAGCATTGTTTGTATGGGTGTCGAAGGAACATAAAGTGAGAGAAAAACTCCTCAAAGGAATAACAATCAAAAATAAAAACTAACAGAAGTGTTAAGTCAATTCAACTCGTAAAACATGTTTAGAGAGGCTTTAAACTGAACGTCAGGGGTTTCCAAACTTTGTCCCTCCGGCTGTTGTGGAACTACAAGTCCTATAAGTCATTGCAAGACTCTGACAGCCACAGGCATGACTCCCAGAGACAGATGAATAATGGGTTTAGTAATTTCAGCACAGCTGGAGCTGCTTTACATCAATACATTAAATCCTAGCCATAACCATGGTTGTGAGCGTTTACAATTTTAAAATTCAGACCAGCAGACCACTGCATTCTGGAATAGCTGCATACTACAAGACCAATAAAGTCAGCTTTGGTGCACTGTATGGCTTATATACCTCATTGTCCTCTTCTTTTGACAGCATCTATCTCGATCTTCCAAACGGGCCAAGATGGACAATTTATGAGCCTCACCACATTTGTATGTAATCTCTTGGAGAGTGAATCCACCCAAAACCTCACCGACATTTCTACGTCTGACCTCAACAACCACAGAGATTCACCTGCTTCTCTCTGGTGAGGACCACGTTCTGGAACCTCTTGATGTCCAGCGGGATGGCTTCACAGCCTGGCGTTTGGCATTAACACGTTTGAACCTGGGATCCCGTCTGTCTGTGCCACACCGCACAAGTCTTACTTAGGCACATCGTACACTGGTATATATGTGTATAAGAAAGCCTTTTTTATTTTTTTAAGTTGTAAATGATGGACGCGAATGAACAGAAATGGTAATCGGATGCCATGCCTTTTTCACCTGAGTGCTGTATTTGAGCCTTTGCGGCACCAAATAACTAGCCCTGTTACATATGTATCATGCACATACTCTAACCCTTAATCTGATCTGCTGTAAGTGCCTCATTTCAAGCAGGTTCATATGTAGATGGCTTAAGCCCTGTTCTGCTCTGCCAGGTTCCCATTGATATTACACGGAAGTCAACTTTCTATTCCACTGGTGACACGGAGCTGAAAAACGCTTAGAAGATTAACACAGATCTGCGTGGCTGTCCCTTATCCTAAACCATTTTTGCCTGTAAATATCTGTACATGTTCATAATAAACCACAGAGTACCTCACATATGCTGTTGTCTTCCTCTCTTTCCAGGTGTACCATGTGCTGCCCTTAGGGCTGCTTTTAATTCACAGGAGTATACAGAAATCTTGGTATTAACTAGGGATGCACCAATACTGGTATTTTGGTATCTAGTACAAGCACCGATATTTTTTTTCTGGTACTCGCCGATACCAAATACCGAGTACCCGGAAGTCCCATTCAATAAGCCAGGCGGCGTGTAGTGACTCGCCACCTGGCTTCCTGATTAGCCAGGAAGTCGGGTGGTGTGTAAAGACTCGCCACCTGGCTTCCTGATTAGCCAGGAAGCCGGGCGGTGTGTAAAGACTCGCCACCCTGCTTCCCAATTACCAGGGAAGCCGTCCCTATGCTTCTCGTCACAAATGACGAGAGAGCATGGAGCCAGCTTCCCGACCTCTCTGGCATTCTGTACATAATTATACTGAAGTCTCCTATACAACTGAGGTCCTGCTTGTGTAACTGGCTCACTGTTCCCAAATGTCTGCACTGAGATGCAAGCCACATTTTAGGCACCTGATAAAACGGTGCCACCTTCTGAGAGAACCTTCAGGCCCCTTTCATAAAGGCGCTCCGATTGGGTCCACCTGTCAGTTTTTCAGGCGGACCCGATTGGATGCCCAATGCTAGTCTATGGGGAGCCGGGTCTAAATGGACGGGCGTCCATTTAGGTTAGCACTTCTGCCTTGCAGTACTGGGGTCCCCAGTTCAAAGACACTATAACATTACAGGAGGACCTGGATAAAATAGGGGAGTGGGCATTAATGTGGCAGATGAGGTTTAATGTCGATAAATGCAAAGTAATGCACTTTGGAATTAAAAATAAACAAATGGGTTATACAATTATGGGTATGCCGCTGGGGAAGTCAGAAATGGAGAAGGATTTGGGGGTCATTGTAGACCACAAACTGAAAGGTAGTTTGCAGTGCCAGGCTGCTGTAAACAAAGCTAGCAGGGTCTTGTCCTGTATTAAAAAGGGGATGTATTGCAGGGACAAGTCTATAATTTTGCCACTTTATAGATCATTGGTTCGACCTCATCTGGAGTACGCGGTCCAGTTCTGGTCACCAGTACTAAGAAAAGATGTCCTTGAGTTGGAAAAAGTCCAGCGAAGGGCAACCAAACTAATTAGGGGTATGGAGGACCAGAGCTACGAGACGAGGCTACTAAATTTAAACATGTTCACATTAGAGGTGAGGAGATTAAGGGGGGATATGATTTCCATGTACAAAATGTTTAATGGTGGTAGCAACATTAGCGATAAACTGTTTAAAATTAACTCCGTTACAAAAACTAGAGGCCATCACCTAAAATTGGTGGAAAAAAAATTCCAGCACAAGGGGCGAAGGGGGTTCTTCACAGTAAGATCAGTTAGGGTCTGGAACTCACTGCCACAGGCGGTGATTTCAGCAAATAATGTGGAATTGTTCAAGAAACTTTTGGACGATTTCTTAAGGGACCGTAATATACAGGGGTACAGGTACTCCTAGAATGAGATCCTAATAGGTTGGACTTGATGGACTAATGTCTTTATTCAACCTCAAATACTATGTAACTATGTAATCCAGGTTTGGCAAGGTCACTATCTGGATGGAGTTTGCATGTTCTCACTGTGCTTGGGTGGGCTCCTCTGGGTACTCTGGTTTCCTCCCACACTTCAAGGACATGCTGGTAGGTTAATTGGCTCCTGTCTAAATGAGCCCTAATACAGGTGCGTATGAGAAAGGTACGCTGCTTTTCACAGACACGTATTTCTTTAAAATTTTGCCAAAGGACTTAGTCATCATGTTTCCAAACAGCTCCAATTCTCAGTTCTTGCACTGGACAGGAAGTTCAGGAAAGCTAGCTTGGGGGAAGCAGGACAGGGTAGCAGAGAGGAGGGTAATGGTCTGCCTTGCTGTACTCCGTGTTTGTGAAGACGCACACAGCTTACTAGCACACACAAGGGTGGCTACATGGATATCAGGACCAGTGCTCAGGGGATCAGCTGATTCTGCAGGATACTAAAACTTTGAGTCTAGGTTCACACCTGCACTACACCGCACGACACCCGGGGCGCGCGTCCCGGTTGTCGTCTGGTCCTGCACAATGCAGGCAGCGATTGCCGCGTGGCCCCATTGGTTTCACTGGGGTGACATCCGCGCGGCAATCGCAGAAAAAAGGAAGTACCTTCTATTTGTGATACACGATGCGAGGCTGTTCGGAAGCACGGGCGGAATGATGGCGGGAAACCGCGCAATCCACACGCCGTGACTGGGGTGCCATTAGAAAATAATGGCACCCACAGCGTGATCGGTTCACACGTTGGCGACTCCTGACTGCGCAGCAATCGCGCACGAGTCCGCGTGGATTGCCGCGCGGTCAGGAGTCGCCAAAGTGAGGTGTGAACCTAGCCTCAAACATCAAAGGAGCAGCATCCATCGTAAGTGATGTCATCAGCATTAAAAACCCTTTTGATTTTAATATCACTTTAAGTTGTTCAATATTCTGTCTAAATCAAAACATTTTTCCTTGTTTTTTTGTCTGCGTATGAAACCTGCTAAAGTAACATGCAAAAACTGTTGTTGTTTTTGCCTGCATCCTACAAACACCTCTAGTGTAGCGGCAGGAAGTATGTCAGCAAATGTATTACAATGAGCCCAAACAAATGCCTAGGCGTGATTAGACCGAGGACGACGTGTGTGATTACAGGGCTGTTCATTTTCGGAACTTACCGTATTATTCCGTCTATAAGACACCCACATGTATAGGACGCCCCCCACTTTTCTTACCCAAAATTCAGAAATCATTATTTTCCATGCTCTTTTGCATAACTGATTACATCCAATTTAAATTTTGCAGAGTAAGACAGTCGCTTACTGGTACCGGTATTTACCAGTATTTTTTTTGTTTTCTGAAATTTTTATGGGTTCCCTGTTGCATCTGGGCCCTGGCTACACGCTCTCCGCAGCATCAGCTGACGTCGGGTACATAAGGCTCATGATTGGAGGAAACCTGTTAGCTTGTCTCTGCAATCAGAAGTTTCACTCGTGAGGCTAGTTTGCAGAGGTATCGGCAGTTTCGCAACTGCGGTACTCCCCCCGTGTATGAGACGCCCCTCCAGTTTTCGGTAAATATTTTTAAGAAAAAGTATAGTCTTATACATGGAAAAATACAGTACTCAAAAGTAGTTCTAAATACAACACTTTGGTTTTTTTTCTGTCTGCTGTGTTGTTGCCCTGGAGGTGGCCGTTCACACTGATCATTCATCCTGTTTTATAATAAAAATGCAGCTGGAATGATAATGAGGGCTTCTTCATAAATGTTGTTAGCCCGTGGCACAAGGGGCACATGCCTTAGGTTCTGGGGCTCTGAAGTGCCCCAGGTCCTGAATATACACCATTGCTGTTGGCGGTGGTATAGTGCTTGATGACCAACTGTGCCTTACAGGGCATAATGGTAATCATCCCCAGTGTACTAAGACGGAACCCAGGAAGTGAGAGTGATCTACGCCCAATACCATGATAGAGTTGTATGAACAGGGTCAGCATTTGGATGGGAAGATAATGGGCAGCAAGTGGCTCGAGCTTCATGCCATTCGCAAAGGATGTCAGCGTGCTGATGGTAGCACTGAGGTGGGTATGATAGAATGGGGGTATGCTCCGTGTATTGGACTGTATGGTGGAGTGTTCTAAGTGTATTGGGGTGTATAGTGGGGTGTGCTGATTATATGAGGGGGGCATGGCGAGACATGCTGCGTGTATATGGATGTATGTATGCATATGGATGTATTGAGGTACATGGTGCAACGTACAGTGTTTTGTGTGCATGGTGCGGCATACTAAGTATATTAGGGTACATGTTGGAGCTTGGTGATCATATTGGACTTCTTGTGACTGCATTGTGCAGGCTGAGTGTATAGGGGTGAGTGGTGGGGCATTCTAACTGTATGCTGGGGGCAGGTGCTGAGTATACAGTGGTGGGGGGTGTTTATTGTACTAGGATATATGGTAGGTTATGCTGAGTGTATGGTGGGGCTTGATGAGTGTTAAGGGGTATATGGAGGCGGTATACAGAGTGTATTGGGTACACAGTAGACTGTGCTGAGTATATAGGAGTACATAAAGGCACGTGGTGATTGTATAGGGGTGAGCTGTGAGGCATGTTTAGTGTATTGGGGTGCATGTTGCAGTGTACTTTTATGGGAGGGCAGGGCTTATAAAGTGTATTAGTGTATATGGCAGGGCATGCTAAGTGTATTGGGGTACAGCAAGGATTGTGCTGCGTGTATGCTTGATGAGATGTGCTGATTGTATAGGGGTGACTGGTGAGGTGTATTAGGGTTCATGTTGCAAAGTATGTGTATGGGAGCACATGGCAATACTCGAAGTCTATTGAGGTATATGGTAGGGCATGCTTAGTGTATTGGAGTGCACAGGAATGCATGATGAGATGTGCTGATTGTATGAGGGGGGACTGGTGAGGTGTGCTTAGTGTATTGGGGTGCATGTTGTGGTGTTTTATGTGCATTTGGGCACATGATAGGGCATGCTGAGTGTAAAGGGGTGTATAAAGGTGCTTGGTGGGATGGGCTGAGTGTATTGGGGTATATGGTAGAGCATGCTGTGTATTGAGGTACACAGTGCGGGTGTGATAGGTGTATAGTGTTCTGGGTGCATGGTGTTTTGGAGTACGTAAAGGAGTGTGCTCGGGCTATGGGGGTGCATGGTAGGGGTATCCAGCCCCTACACTGTGTAGACTGCCCCATTTTGTACCTACAACACATCACATACTGCACACAATCTGACTAAACAATGTCCTACTGTTATATTCCTCACACCGGCATTGTTTATAGATCTGATGTTATGTAATGATAATATTATGATCATTCTGTGGTGCTCTCTGGGAACTGAAGACACTTGTATGTTTGTTCACAACTGCAAAGAGGTATTAGTGCCCATTCACACTGAGCGATAAATCCCGCGATATCGCACATTTTTTCCGCGCAA